AGGCGACTTCTTTTGCGAGAGGATTTGATCGTATCTATTTACGAAGCAACAAAATCCTTACGCAATTTAAGTTGAGCGAGTCTCTTCTCCAGTACGCTCGATCTCACAATCGATCGAAGTTTGTGCGAGATAATGCCTCCGCTCGACTTCAACTTCGAGTCTTCAAGAAATTTGATTTTTCAGCACTGGAAGGAAGCAATATCGGTGAGCTTGGTCGAAATCGATTGTTTTTTCTTCCTCGCCGCATATGCCTTATTGAACAAGTCGGCGGCCGCCGCGACCTCCGCATCGAGACCCCTTGGAAGATCTTCATCGGGGCACGTCTCGAGGGCGGTAATAATATCCTGGAACTGTTTTTCTTGTCGCGTGACTCCACTAAAACTTCAAGGGGCGAGGAATAAAAGAAAGATCGGAAGCGTTGCTTCAGTTGGTAAGGTCCTTCGGTAGAAGTCATGGGCGTCTTAGAAGAGCTCGACGGTGTCGCTTACGTAGATAATAGAATATCGAGGATAGAAAAAGGGTCTTCTTCGATTGCGGCTCGATATTCTAGCGCGGTGCTCGGAGCGAGCACATCTATCTCCGGTAATGACGCCGAGAGCAACTCGATAGGGGGCATCGCAAAAGGAGGAGAATCATCTTGCTCCGCGAAACGGGGAAGGAGAGCCTTGGACTTCGATTATTGGAGTATTTACTGAAAAGAAAGAAATCGAGAATGTAAGATCGAGAGGTTCATAATAGAATGAAATGAAAGTGACAATGAAAAGTATAAATACCATGGGGAGGTAGAGCAAGTGGTGCCGAGGCAGGGAGGAAGAATCAGTACGGCCTCGGGTTGCTGTAAATCGAAAACCATTGTCGGAACAAGAAATGCACAAAAAGTAAAAGCAATCATACAATGATATGTAAGATACCTCGGTGAGGGGTGTTAATAGTTGGGATTCGACATTCGTCGATACGAGTCTCCGATGGAAGATCCCGAAAATTAAATTTTGAAACCTTGTTACAAATTTTATCGAGACTTAAGAACATAGAATTTGTATAGAGAAGGAAACTTACGTGACTTGAACGGGTAGCGAGGTGTTGTCGTGGGGATGGTATTAGAGTCCGTCGATAATGGATCAAGAGCAATTGGTCGAACGGATCGAGGACTCTTCGATTTTTGTTTCGAAAATGGAAGATCGAAAAAGATAAGTATAAGAATAAGGATCGATCAAACAGAGAAATGAATAGGACAAGACGAAGTCAAAAGGAACCTTCGATTTTTTCGAAGAAGTAGGAATGGTGGCCAAACGTCTGCGTTTTCGATCAAGGCCGATGGGTCCGATTCACCCGAGGATCCCCGAGTCCTCTTGTCCCTTCTCTTGACCTTTCTCGACAGCGGAGACCTTAGTAGATTTCGAAACCGCCAATAAAAGAAGACAGATTAGCTTATAATATACGAGAATCAAAAAAGTATAAGAAAGCAGTAAACTCTCACCAAAAGGTGATGGAGTCAAGATCTTGACTCGGTCGATATGTACAAGCCGGGGAGGCAAAAGAGCCTCGGGGAGGTTAAGGTAAGGGAAATAAGATAATTTCGAGACGGAAATATCTTTGTTTTTGGGTTTTGGGCGACGTGTTTCCCGAGGGTTCTCAATTCTCGAACCCATTTTGGATGAGTTAATGGTTTGGCAAGTCCAAAAGGAGTCGTGGGAAAAGTTGGAAGGCGATTTGGACAATACATTTCAAAAGGGGTTCTACCTAAAGGATTGATTATTTTGTGGTTCGATCGATTAATGTCCGTTTTATTGGATAAGGAGATAACAGCATCATAATAGGTCGATTCTAATTTCAGTGGGGTGTAACATATTTGATAAAAGTTCTCGAATCGAGATATTTGAAGACAGTGGAAGTGTGTACCTTTCTTCGATTTTGACTTGTCCTGCAACACAAGAGAAGGTTGAGTAGTCAGTTTCTGTCGAACTTCATCAAAAGTAGCATGACTACTCGAGAACCAACCGGCCCACCATTGAGAAAAACCCACAGTAGATAAATAATTCGACTCGAAAGCATAGGGGTAAAAGTGCATCGAGGTTTTCGGTAAAAGCTCGACAAGCTCCCGATTAATTGTGGATTCAGTTAACTTGGACTTTGGGGAGGTATCGAGAGAAAAGAAAGGCAAAGATTGACTCAACCCAAATTGTCTCGAGAAAAGCTGGGGGTAATAGGTGACAAGCTTAAAATCCTTCGATTGAAAACCCGATACCAAAACATCATGGGTCAAATAGTTACTCCATACACCTATCAGTTCTGATTGCAACCCAGGAGTCGAGGCAGGAAATTTCGATTTAAACCAAATCGGCCCCCTAAGTTGGCCACTTGTTCTTCCAAGATTTACAGTAAATGGGGCCAAGGTTGAGTCGAAAGTGAATCTGGTTAACAAAAAATGAAGGTATTTACAGTAGGTAGTTTCATCAGACTTATGACGAGGGTGACGAGAGGATAATCGGGCCCCTTCTATATTTACACTCGGGGGGACGGAAGAGATTCGAGGAAGGACGCTCTCAAAAATTGAAGTAAGCCACAACTGTACAAACCAAACAGGGCCTGAAAAATTCCCCGACGCTTTAGGTGTGTTCAAAATTTCGACAACCTCGTCGAAAGTAGCATACACATGAGCTAGTAGTAGCTTAGCCAAACATATCGTAGGCTGACCTATGTGCAGGACATATGCAAGATCAAACAAATGGGGGGAGATTTGGATGGATCGGGGGCAAAATACATGAGTGCATAGCCAATACACCAAAAATGCTACATGCTCTTCATCAGTAACAGCTATCGAAGGGTCATCAACAAAATGTTTCTCAATGAAATGTCCGTAAGCCTTCGATTCCCAATCAATTTTGGACCGCAAAGAGCTACTCGAAGGATATGCACCTTTAATATACTTCTCCCCTATGGGCTTCAACCCAGTAATAGCCGCAATCTCGAAAAGGGTAGGCGACAGAGGGCCACAAGGCAACTCCAAAGCATGTAGGTCCTTGTTCCATAAATGCACCGCAGACAAAAACATCGCCATGTCCAAAAATGATAGATCGCATCGAGACAGATGCAAAAAGTCGAAAATTCCTATATCCCTCCAATGGTTCCCAAACTTGGCTTGTACCCTATCGAACCACCTAATAAATTGAGGCTTTTTGGAAGGAGGGCCCGTTCTATACACTTTAGAAGTAAGATTCAGAAAATCAACCTTAACTTCAGGTTGATGAACCAAAGCCGGACTAGTTGAGAGGTTAAGAGGAGTAAAAATGTCATCGATAGGACGGAGAGGACCCCCAAAAGCAAAATTTACCCCTTCAACAGTATAAGGAATAAGTACCTGCGTCTCAGCAATCTTGCGGAAAGCCTCCTCCATCAGAGGAACTGGAGCGAACCTCTGGTTGTTGATCTCCAGCAGGTTAGACAGCAGTGAAGAAAGGGGTGGAGCGGAAAAGTCAGAAGATTTTGATGAGCTGGCCATTGTAGTGAATTTAGGAAAACAGAAAGGGAAGAGTTAACGGATGAGGTAATAGGAACGAAGGCAGGAGCTCAAGGAAGAAGATGAAATTGCACAGAAGGTAATGGTTCGCGTAAAAACCAGAGTGAAGACTAAGGGAGAGGTTAAGGGTAAATCGTATAGGGAACTGGAACGATGGAGGTGAAAGGTAATAAATGCAGCATACTGTGAAGGCAGCAGACTGACGAGACAACGACATAAAGCAAAAAGAAACCCACAACCCTTTTAAACCCTAGAACCCCAGAAACCCTAAACCCTAAATCCTGTGGGCTTTCAAAAATCTAAGGCGGGAATATTGAAAGAATATAAAACTGAAATCATTCATATTCTTTCAGGGGGGCATTTTGTTAGTGTGAAATCGAGAAATATGATCGATAAACGAACAAAGCGTATGATAACTTTTTCGATGTCCAATTATAAAGAACGTAGCACATAAAATCGAAAAGTAGAATCAGAAGGGTAGGAGTAATAGTCGAAGGCTTAACATGGAACAACTTTGAAGTATATGAAGTTAAGGTTAAAAAGAATCGATGCCAGGTATGCAAAGTTCTCGATCAAGTCAAAATCGAAGGGAAAGATCGTTTACGTAGACATCGAAACCCCGGCTAAACCTTGAAAGGAAATAATCAAAACGCACGTATGGAAAGCAGTTTCTAAGTTATGGAAGAGTCGAAGATCGTGAGAACGTGGGAAACCGTAAAAGAGGAACTGCCTTATGCACGTAGGACGTGGTATCAGTCTTGGTAACTGCTCCTGGAAGGCTTGAATGATGTCCTATAAATAGTGCAAAAGAGGAAGAGAGGGAAGGGGGGAAATTGGCGAGAGAACGGGATCGGTAGTGAAAAGTCTACCGGAGAAACGACGAACACCATGAAGTTTCCGGCAATCTGGATTTCCTTGCTCACCGAGTACATTTACCGCTTTCGTATTTTCCTTGGTAATTTATTTTGATGCAACTTAAATTCAGCAATTTTATGTTTACGTATTTTCAATTCCTTGTCCATTTCAATTCAATGAAAGTTTAAGTTTACGCATTTTCGATTTATTGTCATTTACATTTCCTGCACATTTCGAGTTCCCGCCATTTATATTTGCACTATTTTTCGATTCCTTGTTATTTACAATTAATGCAAGTTTAGGGTTTTCGCACTTTACGTTTCCTCGCAATTTAATATTCTGCTTTTTCGATTCGACACTTTATTGTTCTCGATACTTTAAAGATAAAACACCAAAAACAGTTTTCTTGATATCTTATGATTTTTCGATTCTCATACACAAACTCGATTGAAAATCAAATTGCTAGCCTAAGCAAAAAAGAACTTACGTGGTAGATTTTTGATTAGGACCGAAACACCCTTAGAATCGGAATCGATCAAAATTCCACCAGAAACACTTACCTAACGATATTTCATCATTGAGAAAGCTCAAACATTTGGATTTGTCTCAGTGCTACTTGTTGGAGCGAATGCCAAAGGGTATCGAGAAGTTGACAGAACTTCGAGTACTCAAGGGTTTTGTAATAGGTAGTTCTACCAAGACACCATGCAAAATATCAGACCTTGAAAATTTGAAAAAACTAGAACAACTTAACATATATATAGAAAGTGAGGATGCTTTCCAATATGATGAGTTTGAAAGCTTAAAAGAGTTATCAGCTCTTAAGCATCTCAAAATATCGTGGGGTGTGTCTACTGCAAACTATGATGTTAAGATAAGTTTGCCTTCAAATTTGGAAAAGTTGCATCTTGAACGTTTTCCTAGACAGAACATTCCAAGATGGTTGAAGCCTGACATGCTACCCTTGTCATTGAAAGAGCTAAATATATCGGGAGGGAAACTAAACAATATGGATCATGGAGAAATTTATTCCAAGCTCCTCTGGTTCAAGATCTTACGACTCAAGTACCTAAAACATTTGAATGTTGACCCAACAAATTTGCGAAAGTTATTTCCTTCGTTATGGTACATAGAAATAAAACATGTTCTAAACTATCCACACTTTGAATGGAGAATTGGTGAAGACTGAAAGGACCTCTTGCTATCTGCACCGTTGTATATATTTACAGTGAAAACAGATTGAACTTGTATTTTAACCGTGTGGCACTGGTTACACATTTGTTTCATGTATATGTCGTGTTGTGACGTTTGGCAAATGTATCCATGGTCACATAAAAATTTAATTACTCTATGTGGTCTTACCTTTTTCCGTAGATGCAAGCATTTTAATTATCATTGAGTTAATTAAGAGTTTTTACTCCTATTTTTTTTAGAGTTTGTTTGGTAATAAGAAAAAGAGAGAGAGAGAGAGATGAAAATGATAAAAAATATATTTGTTTGTTTGCGAAGAAAATGATATAAAAATAAAAAATATATTTATTTTAAAATAATAATAAATAAGTAAATTAAAATTAAATATTTATATAATTACAAAATTATTTATATAATTATTAAATTTTTATGGTTAGAATATTTTTAAATTAATATTTATTTTTCAATAATATATTTTGATATATAATTATATATATATTTTTTTAATTGAGTTTAAATTAATAAAATAACATTATATTATAAAAAATATTAAGTTATTCATTTGACTTTTATAATTTTTTTTATATTTCTCGTACTTATCAAAATAAAATAATTAAAAATCAATATACATTTTTTATTAAATAGAGAAAATATTTTATAATGTTTCCTTTATATATAAGCGGAAAATAAAACATATACAATAATATCTTTCTTTAGAATAAATAATTTTTTATTACTTTTTTTTATATTAGTCGTTTTTTTACTCTTCTTTTTCGTTAGGAACAAACAAATCTTTTCCTTAAACCCCAATAAGCACTTTGAAAACTAATTTTTGAATTTTAAAAAAATAAAATAAGACAGACTAAAATGATAAAAATATATTTGGATGTTTTCATTAATTTTATTTGGTACATTGAAGCATGAAAATAATTTGTCCTAATAACATTGTTTCTGAACCATCTTACAAATTATTGCTTGTTCTTGCACGCTTGGAAGCATGAACCCACCGCATTGGCCACCAATTCACGATTACCTGAGATGTAAAGTTAATGATAAAAAACATATAAAAATATAAATAATAAGTAAAATGCAAGATTAATAGAGAAAGAAAAGAGTATATGTACCAAAGTTAACATCAATGGACTTGAGTGAGTCACAACCCTTAACACAAGCAAATGCAACATCAACAGCCAACAAGACATAGAAGAAACAAAATTGAAGATTCAACCGCAGGTTTTGACTATTCCAATCGCATTGTTTGGTTCAATTTTAGAAGATGAAGGATTATAATCATAAGATTGGCATAATTATGATCATAATCGTAATTCCAATACTTTTCATCGCCTTCACTCCCATAACTATTTTCTAAGGATATCTTAATAGATTTTAAATATTAATTATGTTGTGTTGTTTAAGGTTCAGTACACAACAATTAATTTATAGGCAAATCACATGTATATGTAAATAAGTTTCTATACAAAGCTATCAAATTTTATGCTTCCTATTTATTATTAAAAATATTATAATTAATATTGTCATTAATGATTAATTTATATAGTTTTTTTTACTAAATCCTCTATAATATTTAACGGTATGAAGTCTCATTGAATAGAATTTTATGCAATTTATACTAAATAAAAAGTTAAATAAAAAATATTTTTTTATCTACACCTACCACTGGTTTGTGATGATAAATTATTATATAAAAATAACCTAAAAATATATATATACAAACATACCGTAAATAATCTCAATGTATGTTAAACTTAAAAATATATTATAAACTTAGCATTCTTATATAATAATTATTTTTAAATTTAAAGTATATAAAAAATTATTTACATAATAAGTTTGTTTATACTATGTATATTTACGGGTTCACTCATTACAAAAAAATTTAAATTACAAACGAAAATTTATAGATGGATAAAAATTTATTGGTATATTTAAATTAGAATATTTATTGATAAGGACAAACAATTATGATAAAATTAAATTATCGACAAATATTATTTTGTTATCAATTTAAATTACTCACAAAAATTTTGTATGGATAATCTATTGGTAAGATCCTCATTTATAATTGACGATAATATATTAATTTTTTAAATAATTAATAATGATTAATGTATTAGTTATTTAATTAATAAAAAATAATCTATTATTTATTTATTTAATAAACATTAAAATATTAATTATTTATTTCGTAAATATAAATATATTAATTATTGAATTAAAAAATAATAATTTATTAATTATTTCATAAAAAATAATCTATTAATTATTTTTTTATTAAATATTAATATTTAATAGTTTAAATAATTATTAAATTATTAGTTATTTAATTAAAAATATTTTTTTCCAAATTTTAATTAATTATTTATTAAATAGATATTAATTTTAAATTTGTTGACTTATATGTGTTAACTGTTTAATAAAAAAATAAATAATAATTTATTAATAGTATAATTTATATATTAATATTAGTTTTAAAAAGATAATATTATTATTATTGCTTAAATTTAATTTAAATATAAATATTAAAATAAAACTAATATAAATATATATTGATATTATTCAATTTTTTTACTTTTTATATGTTTTGAATATTTATTAGTAGTAATTTTAAAATAAATATTAATAATATTATATTATACTAAAAATTATTTATTATATATTAAAATTTTTTAAATTTTGTACTAATTTTACAAAATATTATTTTACAATGATAGTATTAAAATTTGGAATTTAAATTCATACAACTTTATATTTTTATATATACTAAATATTTTTAAATGTAATAATTATGAGCTTTATTTTCTTTTTTTATTTTATATTATTTATTTTTAACAAATTATTTGAGTAGAATGATTTTATTTTTTTAGTGCGTGTAAATTGTATTTAATTTTTTTATTAAAGTTTAAAAATTTATATTATTATTTTATTTTGTATTAATTCTTTTTTAGGAAAAAGAAAAAGAAAAAAATACTTAATCATCTTTACACTTAATAATTTGTTTCGGTATGATCATTAATTTATAACAAAATATTTAAGTGATATTGTTTAATTTTTTACTTTTTAAATATTTTTAATATTAATAATAATTTTAAAATAAATATTAATAATATTATATTAGACTAAAAATTATTTATTATATATTCAAATGTTTAAAATTTTATACTAATTTCACAAAATAATTTTTACAATGATAGTATTAAAATTTAGAATTTTAAAAAATCCCCCTCAAATCATATATTAAGTATTTTATCTAAAATTTTTTAAAGCTTTAGATATTCAATAATTTTTTTATATAATTATATTTCGTAAAAAATATCGTTATTAATGCTAAATTCATAATATTATCCTTACTTTATATATTATCTGATTTATAATTTTATTCATAACATTAACTTCATATTATAGTTTTATCATAATCTATTAGGCATGATTTTTTTTTTTAAGATATAAACACTTACTATGTATAGAGTATTTTATTTTTTTTTCAATTTTTTATTATCAATTTAAATTGTTGTACTTCTGAGTACAATAAATTTTATGTTTTATATTTAATTAAAAAATAAAATAGTAACATAAAAAAACATTGTTAAATATTATCTGGTACTAAATTAGTTAATATGTCAAAAATTATTAATTAGTATAATTTTATCTATATGAAAGAAAACTTATATTTCACTTATTTATTAATTATTTTATTAAATAATAATTACTAAAAAAATTAATATTGATGTTAAATTTATAGTACTACTCTTATGAAAATTTGATAATTAATTAGAGAAAATTGTTACAAAATTAGTTTTTCACTAATGCATAACTAATTGACGTTGAAACATGAAAAAAAATAAAATTATAATTAACCTATAACGAAATAGTAAAACCTATTCCATCTCTCGTTATGAACAATTATAATTAAAAAATGAAATTTTAAATTTTAATTGTTACTTTTTTTACTATTTTTTAGCTAATTTATGTAACATATTATTGTTACTAAATTATAGCAAATTCATCGAAATATATTAAATATTAAATTGAAAAAAAGAGTATAAATTTGTTAGAGAATATTTTATATGACAAATTCATTATAAATATCTTTACATATCTTTTACAAATATAAGTCAATTGTCTACTAAAAAATTTTCTTTTCTACAAATTTTCGTAAAAAAAATTATTTAGGAAAATACTTGTACATTTTTCTACAAATAATTATTTTTTTAAATGATAAATATGTGTTTAACAAAGCAAAACTTTTCATTATAAGTGTATATATTTTATAAATATTAAACTTTGTTTACTTAAAAAATTACTAAAATATTAATTTGATGTACGAATCATATGAAAATGCTATGATGAAAAAAATATGGGGAAGATAATAGAAACATCCTATAGTTAATTCTAATGTTTGGATAAAGATGGATGATGAAAAAAAAATGGTAGAATTTATGGTATTGGTCAAAGTTTGAATCTTGATATTATTTCAGATGTTTCATCTTTATTCATTGAAAGTCCATCTTCCTAAAATCCTACCACACTTTTTATGGAAGAAATAACTAGTTTAGTTACACAAATAACTAATTTGCAAGAGCATATAAAAATACAATTATAGATATAAACTGATATGCAAACACAAATAAAGATACAACTAGAAATGGAAACACTCATGCAACAAAAAATACAAGAAAAAATGTAGTCTTTTAAGAAAAATTTATTATCTACAGTTAAAGAAACAAGGATGAAGATGGACTTTCAAGAATAAAAAATTTTGTTTTTTATTTTCATTGGTGTTGATCTAATACTTTTTAGTTGAAATATTATTTTCATTATATTTTAAATGTTTGAAGCATCATTTTACTATTTTTAAACAATACTTTTAAATTGAAAGTTTATAAATTTAGTTTTTGTTTTTCTTTTGCAAAAATATATGTAACTATTTTAATATAAAATATTTAATATTACAACATTGAAAAAACATGGACAAATTTGCAATAAAATAGATGCAAATTTTACTATATATTACAAAACTAATTATGACAAATTAGTGGAACTAAATAAATATTAGTGAGTGATTAATTACAAATTATTAGTTAGATAATAATTAACGATGAATTGGTTACATTGTGAGGGATTAATTTAAATAGTGAAAGTCAAGTTATAAGGGATTAGTTATAGACAAATTGTGAGAGATTAGTTATAAATTATCAAAAGACAAATTACGAGAGTTTAGCTACATATAGATTAGTGAGGGATTAACTATGGCATAATGAAAGATAAATTAAGAAGGATTAGTTTCATATTAGCGAAAGTCAAACTGTGAAGAATTAATTATGGATTAGTGAGAGACAAATTGCGAGAGATTAGTTAAGAAAAACTTTAACAATTTAACTTTACAATAACTAGAAATTTATGAGATCAATTAGCTAGGAATGAAAACACTTTATATATCACTTAAATTAGTAAGGAAATTACCAACAAAATTTGCTACAAAATAAGAAAAATATATACATATATTTAATTAACTACTTGAATTTGACGACATACTATTTTATAGTTAATCCGTAACTAATATATCACAAAACATATTAGTAGAGAATTACCTACAAAATAGATATGAAATGTATTATAATTAATATGTACATTTCTTTTTATGATTGAATGTGAATTTATAAAAAATTTAAATATACTTTTAAGAACATACAAAAAATATGTACCTGTTAACAAAGAAGGAAAAATTCCAATTGTAAGTGTTTACCCAAAAGGAAAACTCATTTTCATTAATAGAATTAATGGATATTTCATATGGGATTCAACCCCTAAAATGTGATTGATGGAGGCTTAAAGATTCAAGTGATGAGAAGGGATGAAGAAGATGATGAAGAATGAGGTGGATCATGTAAACTACCATACTCTCCTCACAGGAGATCTGAACTAGGAAAATGTTCCTGGATAAGACTCCATCATTAAGGTAAGATATAGATCCTCTTTGGATCTATAAATGAGGACTAGAAATCCTTAGGGAAGAAATACTTTTTTCAAAACTGGCTAGTTGTAGATCTTATGATATACCACCTCCAATAATTTTACTTATCCCATGTATGATGATTAATCCAACATCACATAAGGAAGAATTTCCTCCACTGAAACGAAAACTTGATTCTATCTTAGAATAATAACAAAGCCCCATGTAGTTTGTTAGGAAATTGGACTTGATGAAAAAATCAAACAACTGAGGCAACCCGATGAAGTATTAAACTAGCAAACTGAAAATGCTAGAGCTCAAAATTCAATACTTCAATTCAAAGGCTTGATGAAAGGATGAACAAAATATCCACACACCTTGAAAAGTCAGATGAAAAACTTCAACATCTTTCCTATGATATGAAGAAATACTGTAAAAAACTTTCGACAAAACTCTCATATTGAAAGAAGATTGGAAAAATACTATTTTTGAAGAATTATCTTAGATTAATGAAAGAGAGATAAGGAGACTCAAAATCCAAATCCAGGAGATGGATGATTATATTGAGACAAATGTTAAATAACAAAAGGTAGAGAGATTTGTACCCTTCCCTATTTGTTCCACATCAGGTATACTCTTCTTTCCAAACACCACCCTCATATCTCCATCAACCTTCATATTCATCCGAGACTTTGCCCACTGTTACTAAAATTCATGGTCCAAACCAAAAGTCTTAAGACATAATAAGAGAAAAACCCACAAACCTAGTACATATTCCTAAGAAACATTAAAAATTTTCACATGAGATTCAACTAGAAAAGTAAACTCCTCAAGATCGACCCAATCTTGTTTGCCAAGACTCACAAAACCCATATTCACAAATGACTATGAACCATGTCCTACTCCACTTTTCCAAAACCCTCACACGATTGTTGAAGATTATGTTTTCGAATATTTAGAAGAAGAAGAACTAACATATGCTGACTTAACTCAAATTCTGATGACTAATAAGACATGAACCCATCTATGACTATTTACATGAAGAAGTTAACTCTGGTTAGTCTGAAAACAATAATTCTTCAAAACCAAATGGAGGACCTTGGTTCACTATAGATGTTATCCTCCCAAGTCAATGGAGGGGAAGACTAATTGATTTTGGTGTTTGGCTCGACACAAAAATGATTAAAGATGTTGATTCTTATAAGGTAATTGAAGAATTCTATTGTAAAATGACTGAAACCTATGGAAAGAATGATATCATAATATGTGAGCAGTCCAAACACATAAGTTCCATGAGTTGAGTCAAACATGAGCGATTTTGGGGGTATTGCATGAAAAATTCATGAGATAGTAAAATAATTAACAAAAAACTCAAGAAAGAATTCTTTGAGATGAGATGTTACTCAGTCAAAATTAAAAACTTAGAAAGACATTATCAAAGAATGAGTAAGAGATTTTATCATCTCAACAAACTCCATGATCTAAGCCTGAAAAGTACATATGTTGGATCTCTTCTTATTGAAATTTAACTAGAGCTTCACAAAATGGTTATGACTATAAAAATATATTTCATTGCTTTTACCATGAGACAAATTCACTAGATGACACTAGAAGTAGTTAATAAACTTTGAAGACAACATAAATTCTTAGTCATCATAAATCAAAAGAGCAAAGTACCCAAATCTTGTTGGAAATCCTATCTTGAAATAAAATGCAAGAAGCCATGTGCCGACAACTACAAAAAAGAGTAGGAAAAAATCTCAAATGATAAGAATGAAAAGACCTTTCAATTTTTCAAAAAGAAGAAAGTAAAAGGTAGATCTCGTAATTAAAGGGCTTTCATTTGCAAGAAAAAGAGACAATAAAAAACAAGTTACCAGAGTGAATTCCCTTATCTTTACATGTGTCCTTGCATTAATTGTAAACGTGTAAAAAAGGATAAGACAAAATTGAAGTTGTTGACCATATTAAGTGTGGGCCAAAGAACTTATCTTTATCTTTATAATTGTTGGTCATATGAGTGTGGGTTAAGTTTTATCTTCGAATTTCACTTTGTATAATATTTTTGGATCCAAACTATATTTTAGTTTAGTGAAGTTTTTAATTCTTCTTATATGAATGTTTCCATAAATAGTGGTGTTGGTAATGAAGAATACAGAAAAAAGATACGAATACAAAACTCTTTGAGAGATAATTACAATGAGAAATTAATTGAGGAAATGATTTTGCACAAAAGAATGTATTCTTACTGGGACCCACTACATGGAAGTATGACAAGGAGCAAGACACAACAGATAAACTGATCCCATTCTACCAAATCTGGTTCGAAGTAAAGACTTTAATTAATGATTGTCATCATGACAAATTACTAAAGCAAGATTTCCTTGTGTCCGAGTACCGCAAATATGTTAAAATAGATAAAAAGAATCTACTTTACTTTAAAGATATCTTATCCTATCCGATCATATCTTATCTTGTCTGTAAGACCATAATAAGTATGGGTCATAACCTTATTTTCGGATTCCACTTTGTATGATATTTTCGAGTCCGAATTTCAATTTAGTTTAACGAAGTTTTCAATTCTGCTTGTATGATAAATATGAAGACTTGTAATGTTTAAAGGCATAATCAATCAAATACACATTTTCTTTCTTAAAATGTCTTCTTTCTAAGTTTTTTCTTCTCTAAAAGTCTAAAATATATAATTCTTATTATCTCTTCCTACTTATGTAAATATGTTTTATACTTGTCTTTTACGAGGATCTTATTTATCGGAAAGTCTGCTGATTCCTAAAATTGTTTTATCACATAATTATATTCTTATGAAAAATATGAATTTGAGTGTACTTTTTTACCGTTGTAGTGCTTTTATATTCTAGGAAATTCATATTATATTAATAAGAAAAAAATCTCTATCTAAAATAATATCAATTAGAATAAGAGTTAGAAATTACCTTATAGACTCATAGTTTAAGAAATACCATAGCATTAATTTTCAATTACACTTCATCATTTATGTTGTAAAGGCACATCTACTCAAGCTTTGAAAAATCACCCTTAAAATAATGCATGAAAATTATTCCACACCTATTGTAATAAATAAAGAAATAATTACATCACAAACCTTACACGCAAAAGTTTTATACATAGCCACTGAGATACATCCAAATATTCAACACATAACATAAAAATAAAATATTAAAAATGTTAAATAATAAGTCCCTGTGAAGAAGGTTTTGGGAATTTGATGAGCCAGTCAATTTTTATAGAAAAATGATAATTGAAAACCTAAATCCATTCAACTTTTAAAAATAACTTATTTTTAATATTATAATAATAATTTTAATTTATTTTTATTAAATCTTCTTATCATTATTATATTTAATAAAAAGGTTGCAGGAAGAGTTGTTTGGATTGGTGGATGTAAAAATATCACTGCTCCTTTTTATATAAAAATTACATCGATCAACTTTTTCTATTTTGGCGACTGGTAAAACAAAACCATCATGGCCAACATGAAGATCAGATGATATGTAAGAATAATACTCCAAACCCCTTGGAAATTTGAAAAGCAACTCTGTGCCTATGGGAACCTTGCTGTGTTATGCATGCATCAGCTTCCGCATATACAAACTAGCCCAAGATTGCTTCACAAGCCATCCCTGCCTTACTGCTTAGGAAACCTTGGTTTGCTTGGTTGGCAACTTCTTGACATGTTAACCCCACACGACACTTGTCCTTGTTAACCTTCTTCCTTGTTGCTTCTTACAATCCCTCTTCCAGTTCCATCTTGCAGAGTTACAATATGACACAGTTTGTGGTTGAATCGGTGATTGAGAAATTGGACTCACTCATCCAAAAGGGGTTAACCATTTCTGAGTTTTGATCCAGACCTTATGAGGCTTGCTAACATGTTCGCTACTATCAAGGCTTCGCTTGAAGATGCTGAGGAGAAACAATTCTCACACACAGCTGTTAAGGATTGGCTGAAAAACCTATATGCTGCTGCTCATATGGTGGAAGACATTATTGATGATTGTGCCTATGAAGCATTCGGGTTGGAGTACCAAGGAGTCAAAGGTGATCGATCATACAAGGTACAACGCTCTTGCTTATTCTCTTTTCATCCCAAGCATGTTGTTTTCGGTTACAAAACTGCTAAGAAAATGAAAATGATAAGTGAGAGAGTAAAAGAAATTGTAAAAGAAAAGTCTATGCTTCAGTTAACTAAGACTGAAATGATTGCGGAGAGAAGAAATGAAGTCATTGAGGAGCGCCAAACTACCATTTTCAGCCTAAAAGTTCATGGAAGAGAAATTGATGTTGATAGGATTTTAGTCTGCTTGTTGACTGATGGTCGTTCTAGACATTACCATAGCTCTGAAGAGTATTTAAAGGTCGTTCCAATTGTAGGTGACGACGGAATTGGAAAAACTACAATTGCCAAACTCATCTTCAATCATCGGATGGTAATCAACCACTTTGAGTTAAGAATTGTTGCAGGTAGCATCAATTGTCCTGTGACGAAGGTCAGGTGGGCCGAGTCACAATTGAATCGTGGCGCTTGGGCTGTTAAAGTAAAAAGAGTTGCGCTCTGACTAACGGCTATAGCTTTTGGCCTAGTGGTAAGCGCTCGATCCTAACAATTGGTATCGAGCCAAGGTCACGAGTTCGATTCCTGGTGGGCAATTATTGAGGGGAGATTGTTGCAGGTTGCACAATTGTCCCGTGGCAGAGGCCGGGTGGGCCAAGTCACAATCCAAGAGTGGGATACCTTGTAGGACAATTGCTGAGGGGGAGATTGTTGCAGGTAGCATCAATTGTCCTGTGACGAAGGTCAGGTGGGCGGGGCCACAATTGAATCGTGGCGCTTGGGCTGTTAAAGTAAAAAGAGTTGCGCTCTGACTAATAGCTATAGCTTTTGGCCTAGTGGTAAGCGTTCGATCCTAACAATTGGTATCAGAGCCAAGGTCACGAGTTCGATTCCTGGTGGGCAATTGTTGAGGGGGAGATTGTTGCAGGTTGCACAATTGTCCCGTGGCAGAGGCCGGGTGGGCCAAGTCACAATCCAAGAGTGGGATACCTTGTAGGACAATTGCTGAGGGGGAGATTGTTGCAGGTAGCATCAATTGTCCTTGCTTTTGGCCTAGTGGTAAGCGCTCGATACTAACAAGAATTTGGGTATGTATTTGTTGGGATTTCAGTTGGGAGAGAATGATAAAAGCTATCATCAAAGCAGCTACTGGATGTGACTGCGAAGATTTGGATATAGAGCTACTACAAAATAAACTAATATATCTTCTCCAAAGAAAAAGATACTTGCTTGTTTTGAATGTCGCATTATATTACGAGAACAGGATTGGGAAAGATTTTCTTGGAACTGGCGGAGGTTGAAATCAGTATTAGATTGTGGGAAAAAGGGTGCTTCCATTTTGGTCACTACTTGTCTTCCAGAGGTTGCAAAAATCATGGGAACATTAGCTCCATATAAAGTGTCAATGCTATCATTTATGGATGGTTGGGAATTGTTTAAAAGCCAAGCCTTCAGACCGAACAAAGTAAAACAGGAAGAGCTTGCGGTGATAGGGAACGAGATAGTAAAGAAGTGTGGGCAAATACCTCTTGCAATAAAAGTAGTGGGAGGTCTTCTACGCTTCAAAAGAGAGAAAGAAGAGTGGCTCTATGTTATGAATAGCAACATTTGGAAGTTACCACAAGTTAAAAACTGCGTAACACCTGCCCTGATATTAAGTTACTTGGACTTAACAATAAGACTCAAACAATGTTTTGCTTATTTTTCAATGTTTCCCAAAGGTGAAACAATAGGGAAACAATATTTAATTGAACTTTGGATGGCTAATGGATTCATTTCATCTAGTGAAAAATTAGATGTTGAAGAAGTTGGGGATGATGTGTGGAATGAATTATATAATAGATCATTTTTTGAGGATATTAAGACAGATGAATACGGAATCATCACAAGTTTTATGATGCATGATCTTGTCCTTGAACATGCAATCTTAGTTGCAAAAGACATAATATTTTCGCCAAAAGATGAATTTGGACTTTTATTGGATTCAACAGAGTTCCAGCACGTGAGGACCTATCTAATGCCAGATGGGTACAGTGTCCACTTTCCCCCCGGGGTATTTAAACTTCATTATTTGCGGGTGCTTCACTTGCGAGTAAGGGGAGAATTGTCACCTTCAATTGGTGATTTAAAGCATCTAAGATACTTGAATCTTTCCAAGAGTGACTTCAAAACTCTTCCAGATATCCTCTGTAAATTGTGGAATTTGCAAATCTTGAAATTAGACTATTGTAAACATCTCCAAAGGTTACCCAACAGTTTGACAGACTTAAAATCTCTTCAAAAGCTATCTTTTAAGGATTGCCACAAACTATCAAGCTTGCCTCCTCAGATGGGGAAGTTGACTTCCCTGAGGAGTTTAACATCGTACTTTGTCGGCAACGAAAGAGAGTTCTTTTTGGCAGACTTGGGAGCGCTGAAGCTGAGAGAAGATCTTGACATCAAGAATCTCGAAAAAGTGAAAAGTGTTAATGATGTCAAAGAAGCCAATATGTCAGGTAAGAGATTGAGTCAGTTAAGGTTGTCATGGGACAGAAATGAAGAGACCAAATTAGGAGAAGATGTTGAGAAGGTTCTTGAAGTGCTTCAACCAAATACCCAACAACTTGTGAGTTTGACAGTAACAGGATACCCAGGTGCCCTTCTCCCAAGATGGATGTTCAGTCCTTCTCTGAAGAAATTGCAGATTGAAAGATGCAGAAAGCTGAGAAGTTTGCCTGAGGCTTTACAAGGCATGAATGCCCTGCAATCGTTAAGATTGAACGATCTTCCAAATCTAGAATCCTTGCCTGATTGCTTTGAACACCTGTTCTGTCTTCGCCAATTAGCTATTGGCTTCTGTGGCAAGTTGAGGCGTCTTCCAATTACCCGAAGACCGAACTTGAGATTGGAGATTTACGCTTGCCCTGAGTTAGAGAAGCTACCACAGCGTTGGGCAGTACCTGGAGATTCAGAAATTATAGTGAATGGTTGTCTTAGAAGAGGTAAAACATCACTTCCTTTCACCGCATGTTATATTGTTTGTTTCAGTTTACGAAGTTTTGCTAATCCTTTGGATTAACAGTAAACAGGTAAGCTGAAAAAAGAACCAATTTTGAAATACTATAAAAAAAATGTGTTGGAATCGGAATGAATATATTTTATAAACTCGTAAGTGATATTTCCAACCAATCGCAGTCACAATACTTTCCTACTCTTGAATGCAAATTCCTAATGCAATGTAAAATTATGTTAAAAGTTATGATATTAAAAAAATGAGATAAATATTAGAAATTTTGAATGATAGATTTTATTTATATATATATATATATATATATATATTTTTTTTATAACATTTTCACTGTCATGTAAGATAAAATATCTTATTTAATTTTTATTTTGACGATAGATTTTATTATGTGATTTTAGGTTTTTATCTAAATTGAAATATAAAATTTTAAAAATAATATTTTATTATTATTTTACAGAAAAATTATGTGCATTACTCACAGAGGATGAAAGATCTTACGAGAGGGAAACATTGATCCTTAGATCTGGTTTCAGATTCACCGATGACCATGATCTTTGAAAAGTAAAATCATGGTCACTGTGTTTGTCAAGATTTATCTAAAATATTATAAAAGAGTTATCAAGTAATTATTACTCGTGAAGACGATGCAAATTACTGTGGAAAAGTGGGATAGCAACTGGCTCCTCAAATTTCCGGAAAAGCTTCTCTACAGTGACTTATTATTTGTAATATTTTATTTTGATGTCATGTGTTGCACATTTGGACTTATGTCACTATTTATGTCTAAAACTTACGCGTGTAAAACTTATGTGTGAAAGGTGCGCGATGTAATTATTTCTTTATATACAATATGCAAAATAGTCTTCATGCATTGTTTCAAGGATAATTTTTCATGCATTTATTTACAATGTTAAGGTAGTGCTTCTTATTATAAATTCTAAATAATTTATTTCCATAACTACACTTAGTATATTTTTTTTAATCAATAAGAATTCAACGCGATAAGGAAAGCGAATTGAAGGCACAATATTTCTACTCGGTTCTCTCTAAAATAATATTAAAGTCTAATATTTTTTAAAAAGATATGATAATAAGTTATATATTAAAAGTGATAAAGAGATTATTAGTGTTTGTCTTTTTTTTTTTTAATGATCCAAAAGGGGGAAAATATATTTAAAACCTGATATGTTAAATATTTTGTTATGATAGTTATGACAGAAAACATGTTATTACAAAAGAGACTTTAAAACAAATTTTAATCATCATAAAAAAGGGGAAGATTATTGAAAATGCAAGGATATGGTGACTAAAGATTTTGATGATGATTCAAGATCAACTGACTTCAAGATTATAAGACTTATATACATTTGAAATTGCTTGTAATAACTCTATTTTGTCATTTTGAGTCTGTAAAAATAGTGTTCATGATAACCAGCACTTGTCTGTCAACAAAAGTTTCATTCTTATCAAGGTCGCACTGGAATAATTGATTATCACTTATCCTGAATAAACTTTAAGTTTTCTGAAAGTGACTCTGGAATAATCGATTATCTCTGGGGATAATCGATTATCTATGGTTGTTAAGGATTTAAATTCAAAATTGACTCTGGCATAATCGATTATCTCTCAGGATAATCGATTATCCTGGATAAAATTGATTTTCTTATATTGGCTCTGTGATAATCAATTATCAGTGTCAGTTATGAATTTGAATTTCGAATTTCAGACCTAATTTTCGAAAACCCTAAAACTCTATTTAAAGGACTCTCATGCTCTCTGCAAAGTGACAAACATTTTTTATACTCAGAAGTTAAGAGTTGTGATTGCTGAGAGAACTTTGAGTAGAGAACAAAAAGGGGCTTTGAAAACCTAGTGTGTGGGCTAGAAGCAATAAGAATCATTGAGTGAGTTTCTCAGTAGATTGAGTGATGTGCTGTCTCTAGGAAAACAATCTTCATCCTTTGTGGCTTCAAAGGAGGTGTTCATCTCTTGTGTGACTCAAGAGAGGTGTTTTCTAATCCTTATCTACTTGTAATTTGTTTATTTAAGAATCATTATTATAGTGACTGAGTTATTCTTCTTTTAGAGTGATTAACAACTGGACGTAGAACCTTTTGATCTGAACAAGTATAAACTACTTGTGTAATCTTCATCTCTTATCTCTTTACTTTTCAAGTGCTCTATTATATTATCTTTTAATCGATAAAATCTTGTGAAAAATTCTTAAAAGGGATAATTTTTATAAGAAACTAATTCACCCCCTCTTGATTTTTGTTTTAACGCAAATATTTCGTTGCGTAATACCAACAAAATAGATTTTAAAATTATTTTTTTAATATAACTTTTTTTCAAAAGATATAATATATTTTAGTTTTTTAATCTTATATTAATTACATATTTTTATCTTATTTTAAATATTATTTATTTTATAATTTATAATATCTTTTAGGTTTATAGTTTTGATTATTTTTTTATTTTGTAAAAAATATTATTATTAATAAATTTATTATATTATAACATATTATTTTATTAATGATTAGATCTTTAAACTTGAATCACATTTATATCATCTAATGATGAGTAAGATTTTAAAAATATTAATAAATATTTATTATAATAGATAAGGTTTATTCAATTCTTACTTATTAAAAAAATGTGAGTGTATCATGTGTAATTATACAAATAAATTATTTAAAATTTATTATAAAAAGTATTACATTAACATTGTAAATAAATTGATGAAAAAATTACCCTCAAAACAATGCTTAAAATTTATTTTACTTGTTGTAAATGAAGAAATAATTACATCACACACCTTACACACATAAGTTTTTTAGGCATAACCAGTGAAATAAGTCCAAATGTTCAACACATGACATAAAAATAAAATATTTAGGATGTTAAATAATAAGTCAATGTGAAGAAGTTTTTTGGGATTTTGAGATGCCAACTTCTCAGTTATTTGCATCTTCTTCATTTCCCTTTCGTTCTAACACAGGTTTCTTCTTCCTGTGCAGTGCAGACAAACACAATCAACGTATAACTTCTGTTATTTTCCACGTTACAAAATCACTAACATTTATCTCATATCCTTTTAATATTGCAAGTTTTTTTTTTCATACATTTTTACGTTGCATTGACAATTTGCATTCAAGAGCAGGAAAGCATTGTGCCTGCGATTGGTTGGAAATATCAATCATAAGTTTATCAAATAAATTCATTCCGATTCCAACAAATTTTTTTTTCTAGCATATCAAATTAATTCAAAGTATCAGCACAACTTTGTAAACCTCATAATTTAATCTGAAACAAAAAATATAATGTGGTAAAAGAAAGTGATACTTTTACCTCTTGTAAGCTAATTGGCCAAGAGAGAAAAGGTTTTCAAAGCATTCAGGCAAGAATTCTAGATTTTGAAGATCGTACAATCTTAATTAAGGATTGCAGGGTAGTCATGCCATGTAAAGCCCCAGGCAAACTTCTCAGCTTTCTGCATCTTTCAATCTGCAATTTCTTCAGAGAAGGACTGAACATCCTTCTTGGGAGAAGGGCACCTGGGTATCCTGTTACTGTCAAACTCACAAGTTGGTATTTGGTTGAAGCACTTCAAGAACCATCTCAACATCTTCTCCTAATTTGGTCTCTTCATTTCTGTCCCATGACAACCTCAACTGACTCAATCTCTTACATGACATATTGGCAGTTCACAAACAATTACCTAAATAAAACACTTTGTATATTATCTCTTGATGTATTTGTAATGAATGGTATATGGTCAATTTATAGGCCTTTAGATATGGCTTCTCAACTACATGTATTTAATACAACTACTACCTTTCAACTACATACATTCAATACAACCACTATCTCTCAACTACATACATTCAATACAACTACTACCTCTCAACTACTACCTTTGTAATCACTACCTCTCAATTACATGCATTTAATGTTTACCTAACAAAATTCCCCCATAAACTTAAATGTTTTTCTTGTCCTTCATTCCAAGCATCTTCATGTTGTTCTCGAACAGAGTGGTTGACAGTGGCTTCGTGAACATATTTGTAGCTTGTGTCCCTTCACTACGAGTCGAGCTTTATATCGTTCAACTTCTCCTTCAGCATTTGTCTTCTTCTTGTACACTCACTTTATGTCGATAGACCGCGTTCCTTTGGACAAATCAGTCAGCTCCCTTGTGTTGTTGTGTTCTATTGCTCCGATCTCCTCGTTCATTGCCTTTTTCCACCTTTTCTCCTGCACGACCTCTTCAAAACTTGAGTCTTCTGAATCTGCCAAGAGACATACAACATGCACTTCGTCAATGGAGTTGTATATATCTTGTAAACTTCGCGCTCTGGGTTGTAGAGGTTCATCTTCTTCATCAGAAGTCTCATGATCTCTCACAGTATGTGGTGTATCAACTTCTGAGCTTCTACTTCCTATGGACTCCTTCTTCGGGTTGTTCCAACTCCACTCGCTTTCTTCATCAATTTGAACATCTCGGCTCATAATGACATTCTTAGTTATTGGGTTAAACAACCTGTACGCCTTGGTTTTTTCATCATACCCAATAAATACGTACTTTTTGCTTCTATCTTCGAGCTTGGTCCTCTGTTGAGCTGGAACATGACCATAAGCTATGCTACCAAATACTTTAAGGTGAGACACACTCGGTTTTCTTCCACTCCAGACTTCTTGCGGTGTCTTCTCGTTCAGCTTAGCATGTGGACATCTATTTTGCACATAGATGACACATTGCACTACTTCTGCCCAAAACTCCTTTGACACATTTTTGCTTCTCAACATTGTTCGAACCGTGTCAAGAATGGTTCGATTCTTCCTCTCGGCAACTCCGTTTTGTTGGGGTGAGTATGGTGTTGTCAGAAATCTCCTTATCCCTTACTCCTCGCAATACTTCATGAGTTTGGATGAAATGAACTCGCCTCCTCGATCAGACCTAACAGATTTGATAGGCATGTCAGTCTCTTTCTCAACCATTGCTTTAAATCTCTTGAAAACCTCAAACATCTCGGATTTCTCCTTCAAAAAATATACCCAGGTTTTTCTTGAAAATCATTCATAAAAGAAATGAAATACTTTTTCCCACTGAAGGACTCAGGGGTAATTGGTCCACAAAGATCTGTGTAAATCAATCCGAGTTGTTCCTTTGCACGGTACTCGACCATCCTCGGAAATGAGGTCCTCGAATGCTTTCCGAGCACACACTCTTCACAAAATTTCTTTTCAAATTTCATAGAGGGGAGTCCTCGCACCATCTCTTTCTTTACCAACTCGGACAGCCCGCCAAAATGCAAGTGGTCAAACCAAAAGTGTCACATCATTGCTTCATCCTTCACGTCAAGTTTCAAGCACCTCTCTTAGACTATTTTCAAGTCCAACTTGTACATTTTGTTCTTCTTCATTTCTACTCGGGCAATCAAACAATTCGACTTATCCTTCAGGTATAGGACTCGGTCTTTCATCAGAACCGAGTAGCCTTTCTCCATCAGCTGACCCATGCTCAATATGTTGTTTTTGAGATCGGGTACATAGTACACGTCTCTGATTTCTTCAACTCGGCTATTCTTCTGCAGGTACCAGATTGTACCTCTGCCTTTTACTGCCACCTTTGATGCATCTCCAAATGACACGTGTCCGACCTCAACTTCAGTGAGCTCCTTAAAAAGGTTCTTGTCCCCGCACATGTGGTTACTTGCTCCTGTATCAAGATACCAAACTGAGTTGTCAGAACAGCTCGGACTTAGCTCGACATCCAAACTTCTTGACATCATCAACACTCCTTCTTCCTCAGCGTCCTCAGAGAGGAGATTTGTTTCCTTCTTGCTCTCAAATCGGCAGTCCTTCGCAAAATGTCCAACCTTCCCACAATTATAACATTTGATACCTGAATAGCAGTCCTTAGCAAAATGACCGTACTTCCCACATTTGAAGCACTCAACTCCGGAATCGCTTGACTGACCACCTCGGCCTCTACCGTCACGACCTCTACCGTGTCTTCGGCCACGCCAGTTTTGTTGACTGACTTGCTCCTTGCCTCTTTCATATTCTCCTCTGCCTCTACCACCTCGGCCTTAGTGTTTTGAGCATAAGGAACCTTCTTCTCCTTTAAGGTTGCCTTTGCTTGGAGTACTTGATCAAGGGACTCCTCTTTCTTCTTCCTTCTCCGCTGCTCATGCGTTTTAAGCGACCCGGCAAGCTCTTCCACCGAGAGCACCGACAAGTCTTTGGACTCTTCTATTGCACAAACGATATTCTCAAAGTCGTTAGTTAACGACCTTAAGATTTTCTCCACCACTCGGCAAGTGGGCAGCGTCTTTCCATTTCTTCCGAGTTGATTCACCACAGTCTCAACACGGGAGATGTACTCGACAACCCCTTCGACCTCTTTCATCCTCATGCTTTCAAGCTCGCCTCTAAGAGTTTGAAGTCTGACTTGCTTCACGCGATTATCCCCTTTATTTGCCTTCTCCAGAATATCCCACGCTTCTTTTGAAGATTTAGCATTTGCTATCTTCTCAAATCCGAAGTCATCAACAGCTCGGTACAGCACATACAAAGCCATTTTGTCTTTTACTCGTGTTGCTCTCAATGCAGCAAGTTGGGCAATCATCTACTCTTCAATATTCTCTGGTTCTTGGTGCCCATTTTCGACCACATCCCATACTTCCTAGGAACCAAGGAGAGCCTTCATTTGCAGGATCAGTTATCATAGCTTACGCCTTTCGATAACTTTGGCAAGGGCATGCTATTAGCTAAGTTGGTCATCTCGAACAAACTCTCTAACTCTAAAACATTCTCTCTAACGCACTTAGATACTCAGACTCTCAAGCTCTGATACCAATTTTGTTGACAAACAAGTATCTAAATAAAACACTCTGTATATTATCACTTGATATATTTACAATAAGTAATACATGGCCAATTTATAAGCCTTTGGATATGGTCTCTCAACTACATGTATTTAATACAACTACTATCTTTCAACTACATACATTCAATACAATCACTATCTCTCAACTACATACATTCAATACAACTATTACCTCTATAACCATTATCTCTCAACTACATTTAAATGTTACCTAACATTTGCTTCTTTGGCATCATTTACACTTTTCACTTTTTCCAGATTCTAGATGTCAAGATCTTCTCTCAGCTTCAGCGCTCCCAAGTCTGTCAAAAAGAACTCTCTTTCGTTGCTGACAAAGTACGATGTTAAACTCCTTTCCCCATCTGAGGTGGCAAGCTTGATAGTTTGTGGCAATCCTTAAAAGATAGCTTTTGAAGAGATTTTAAGTCTGTCAAACTGCTGGTAACCTTTGGAGATGTTTACAATAGTCTAATTTCAAGATTTGCAAATTCCACAATTTAAATATGACTTCTGGAAGAGTTTTGAAGTCACTCTTGGAAAGATTCAAGTATCTAAGATGCTATAAATCACCAATTGAAGGTGACAATTCTCCGCTTACTCTCCCCTTACTCGCAAGTGAAGCACCCGCAAATAATGAAGTTTAAATACCTCGGGAGGAAGGTGGACACTGTACCCATGTGGCAATAGATAGGTCCTCACGTGCTGGAACTCTGTTGAATCCAATAAAAGTCCAAATTCATCTTTTGGCGAAAATATTATGTCTTTTGCAACTAAGATTGCATGTTCAATGACAAGATCATGCATCATAAAACTTGTGATGCTTCCGTATTCATCTGTAATATCCTCAAAAAATGATCTATTATATAATTCATTTCACACATCATGCCCAACTTCTTCAACATCTAATTTTTCATTAGATGAAATGAATCCATTAGCCATCCAAAGTTCAATTAAATATTGTTTCCCTATTGTTTCACCTTTGGGAAACATTGAAAAATAAGCAAAACATTGTTTTTGTCTTATTGGTAAGTCCAAGTAACTTAATATCATGGCAGGTGTTACGCAGTTTTTAACTTGTGGTAACTTCCAAATGTTGCTTTTCATAACATAGAGCCACTCTTCTTTCTCTCTTTTGAAGCGTAGAAGATCTCCCACTAGTTTTATTGCAAGAGGTATTTGCCCATACTTCTTTACTATCTCCTTCCCTATCACCACAAGCTCTTCCTGTTTTACTTTGTTCTGTCTGAAGGCTTGGCTTTTAAACAATTCCCAACCATCCATATTTGATGGCTTTGATACTTTACATGGAGTTCATGTTCCCATGATTTTTGCAACCTCTGGAAGACAAGTAGTGACCAAAATGGGAGCACCCTTTTTCCCACAATCTAATACTGATTTCAACCTCCGCCTGTTCTCAGAAAATCTTTCCCAATCCTGTTGCTCGTAATATAATGCGACATTCAAAACAAGCAAGTATCTTTTTCTTTGGAGAAGATATAGAAGTTTATTTTGTAGTAGCTCTATATCCAAATCCTCGCAGTTACACCCAATAGCTGCTTTGACGATAGCTTCTATCATTCTCCTCCAACTGAAATCCAGACATATACATACCCTAATTCTTAACTCAAAGTGGTTGACTACCCTCCAATGATCAAAAATGAGTTTGGCAATTGTAGTTTTTACAATTTCATCTTCACCTACAATTGGAAAGACCTTTAAATCCTCTTCAAATCTATAGTAAAAACTCTCAAACAAGTACTTCAAAATATTATCAACATCTTTTTCTCTTCCATAAACTTTTGGGATGGAAAAGGTAGTTTGGCGCTCCGCAATCATTTCAGTTTCAGTTAACTGAAACAAAGACTTTTCTTCGACAATTTCTTTTACTCTCTCTCTTATCTCTTTCATTTTCTTAGCAGTTTTGTAACCGAAAACAACATGCTTGGGATGAAAAGAGAATAAGCAAGAGCGTTGTACCTTGTATGATCGATCACCTTTGACTCCTTGGTACTCCAACCCCAATGCTTCATAGGCACAATCATCAATAATGTCTTCCACCATCTGAGCAGCAGCATTTAGGTTTTTCAGCCAATCCTTAACAGCTGTGTCTGAGAATTGTTTCTCCTCAGCATCTTCAAGCGAAGCCTTGATAGTAGCGAACATGTTAGCAAGCCTCATAAGGTCTTGATCAAAACTCAGAAATGGTCTTAACCCCTTTTGGATGAGTGAGTCCAATTTCTCAAGCACGGATTCAACCACAAACTGTGTCATATTGTAACTCTGCAAGATGGAACTGGAAGAGGGATTGTAAGAAGCAATAAGGAAGAAGTTTAACAAGGACAACGTGTGGGCTTAACATGTCAAGAAGTTGCCAACTAAGCAAACCAACGTTTCCTAAGCAGTAAGGCAGGGATGACTTGTGAAGCAATCTTGGACTAGTTTGTAGATGCGGAAGCTGATACATGCATAAGACAGTAAGGTTCCCCATAGCCACAGACTTGCTTTTCAAATTTCCAAGGGGTTTGGAGTACTATTCTTATATATCATCTGATCTTCATGTTGGCCATGATGGTTTTGTTTTACCAGTCGCCCAAATAGAAAAAAATGATCAATGTAATTTTTATATTAAAAGCTTACAGAAAGAAAGAAAAATAAACTACCAAATTTTTTCCCATGTGCTTTATAAAGTAAAATAAATTACAAGAAAAATAAGTGGATTTGACTGTGTCACAAAAATTCTCTTTCCAGACCAAACAAGGTAAAACAGGAAGAGCTTGTGGTGATAGGGAAGGAGATTGTAAAGAAGTGTGGGTAAATGCCTCTTGCAATAAAATTGAGGTATTACATATTGATATCCATTGTCTATCTTTTCTTATATATTGTCCTTGTCATTGAGTTTATTTGTTGTTGGCATGATAGCATATTAACATTTTCAAAATGATGATTGTAAGGTAAAAGTTATATGATTTATATGATTTTATTTATTTTTAGATATATTGTTATCACCCCTCTACATTTTGTGTCTGAAATTTTAACTTCCTAGATTATGTCTGTCATATAATCATGTTGAATGAGCCTATTAAACAAGGTTATATTTTGAGTTTGTTTTTCTAAATTAGCATATATATTTCTAACTTCATTTTGTTTTTTAAAATTCCATTGACTCAGGTTAAAAAGAAAGTTACGATTTTGTTGTTATGCCGAGGAATGATTCTTCTTTACATATAAAATGATAAACACAAAAAAATTTAAATATAATATAAAATAAAATTATATGTATTGATCTTGTTTATATAATATTTTATGAACAACAAAGTAGTGATTTTCAATATTATTTATTATCATGATTTTAAAATTAATATTTTCTATTTTTAACATTAAATTAACTATAGCTACAAGTAAAGACAAGAAGGAATTCTAAAAAACAAAATTGAAGAACATATATGGTGAAGCGCAAGCCATTGAAGGAAATGACCGAATGGAAAGAGAAATATAGCTAATCTATTGTTAATAATTGAAGTGTGAGTTGAAGTCCTACATTGGGTAAAAATGAGAAAATTGAGTAATTTATAAATAAGAAAGACTCGTACTCTAATGTCTTAAGGTTTTTTATTAAGAGTAATGTCATATTTTCTTATATGTTTGACTCATATTCTATTTGTGAAAATCTTCCAGTTATTAGCCATCTTTGAAAATACTTAACAGTGGTATCAGAGCATGGTTGGTTTCTTGTTTATGATATTACTTCATTGCTATAGTTATTAGAATAGTATTGGAAAAAATATTTAGTTTCTTGCTTATGATTGGTTTCATAGTGTTAGAGAAAATTCTTAGTTTCTTGCTTATGATATTATTCTACTGTTATAATCATTAGAATAGTGTTAGAGAAAATTCTTAATTTCTTATTTATGATTGGTTTATTGTTTATGATATTAATCCACTGCTATAATCATTAAAATAGTGTTGAAGAAAATTCTTAATGGGAGGATGTTGACCATTGATAATGAGAGGTCAAATAATATATTATTAAAAAATAATAAATAAATATAAAAGGATAAAAAAAGATGAAAGGTAAAAGGATAAAATTGTAAATGTATAAATAAATATATAAAATGATCATTAAGGTTCACGGTAAAATCATAAATTATATAAAAATTATAAAACTGAGAACAAAATCATAAATTATATAAAAGTTACAAAAGTGAAGTGAGGATGAGAGGATAAAATTATAAATATACAAGAATATATTATTATTCCAAATTTCTAACATATATTATTATTCCAAATCCACTCTTCCAGCAACTTCTCTGTTTTCCAACAATATTCCAAATTGACTATTTAAGAATTGTTTTAGAATCAATTTTCCAAAAAAAAAAAAAAAATTCAGGTTAATCCGTAATATTTCCAGAAAATTTGCAGATAGAGCTTTCCAAAAAATTTGTAGATTGAGATTTCCGAAAAGTTTTAGGACAAGCTTTCTGGAAAGTTTCTAGAATGATCTTTCTATAAATATTTTGGATTGATCTTTTCATAAGTTTTTCATAATATTTCTAAAAAGGTGAATCCAAAATATTTCTTGAAAACATATTCTGAAAAACTTTATAAAAAGCACATTCCTGGAACTTTTTGAAAAGCTTATTCCGAAATCTATTTATATCAAAGACTATTATCATTTCGGATAAATACTGAGGTGCAGAAAGTATGGGTTTGGCGGAAAAAAAGTGACTTTAGAATAGGTTTCTGTAATGTTATCAGGCCCAAATAAGTACCATTCGACTACGATAATCATGATAAAATCTCTTTCTTTGTTCGTACAATGATATCTCTTCTTTGTGTATTGAAAATTGAAAGTTACTCATTCCTACAGAATCAGAGATCAAATTTATATTTCACTTATATATTATGTCTATGGTATGGTGCCATTTTAAGTCTGCATTCTGCCTTTACCTGCCCAACCTATGTTGGAGACTCTCTCTGGGTGAAACCCGTGTAGAGGGGGCTACAAGGATTTGTAATTGTGCTTGATTGGGTTTTTCCATTTGAAGATCGAAACTTTATGACAAAAGCTAAGGAGGGTTTCATTCCATTGGCTTTTTCGAAAGTTCACCTGTGAAGCACGCAGGTTCCATTATTAAATGTAGTGCAACATTTTGTAAAATAACTCTTTGATGATCTGATTATTTTCAATGTTCTGTAATAGTTGAAGGAACAAATGAAAGACAAGTTCTCAGTGTAGCTGCCACCGTGGGGAGCATATTTGAACTTTTACGCACAGTAATTTAAAAAATTACAAAAAATATAGAAGCTACTTTTTTAGTTGGTTATAATCATAAATCTATCAAGAATAAGGAATAGTCAGCAAGGTATTTTTATAGGCGTGTGTGCAAGAGATTCAGTTTAGTGTAAGGTGCAAGGCGAAAGTATTTTATTTGAAAAGTGTAATGTTTTTCCATGAGAAAAAACTGAGCCAAACAGTTTATTAATTGATATTGTTGTAAGTGTTTCTTTCTGTGATGATCTTTATTGTTAATGTTATCTGTCCTAAAACTTGTAGTTGGGATATGAATAGAGTTGTTGGTTGCATGAAAACAACTCATCCATTCATCAACAGCAGCAGAGAAGGAGAAAGTGACTTTTTCTACTGTTATACAGTTTTTTGTTCATATAAATTTTTCCGTACTTTAGTTTTGATACTGGTGGTATTCACTAAAAGAAAATAGTTCAACTTCTCATAGTTTAAGTACAAGAAGAAGGATTATACTGGCAAGAAGTGTTTATGCAATCAGGGAACTTCCTTGATTGCATATAAACAGGAAAATCTGCTTTTGACTAGTTTCACAGTTAACTTTCTTGGAGAGCAGTGATTGTTGTCTTGTATAGAATAAGCCTCCCTATGATCTGATCTCCGACATCATTCTTGATAGAACAGAAGTCAATTATCATATGCTAGTCTGTGTTCATCTCTTCAAGCATTGTGTTTAGAAAAAGAATGTTGATCATAAGTCAAGGGTTCTGTTCATCACTTCTTGTTACTTCTAAATCATAATATTCATATACTTGAGCTTCAGTTTGGTGCCGTCAAAGTTAGGCGGGAAATGGGGACAGAGAATTCAATCACTATAATTGTCATGAGCAATCCTAATTGAATTTGAAATGCCAGCATTTAATTCACTGATAATACCCTTATTGGTTATCCTGCCCACATTAAGGACATTCTCATTTCATAAGTCTGTGGCCAATATTGGTACATCTAAAGGAATTTGTTCATTAATGTTTGTGGTCAACATTCTTTTCCTAGAAGAAATCGTGTAACATTAATAAGAATATCACAATGGTTAACTGATGAGTCACAATTCAGGCCCCATTTGCATGTGCCTTTATTTTATATGGCCCTTTTCTTTTGCCTTTCAGAGTAATTGAGAATTTATTGCAGATTTGATTTGTGGTCCTCAGTCACAGTATGTTATAATTACTTAATTTTCCTTAATGATTGCAAAAAAAAATCCCAAGGTAGGAGTACCTGGTTGTCTATTTTTGGTCTCAATCAGTATAGATAGACTGTCTGATTTGGGTCTGATCATGACATATGAGGTGATCTGCAATTCTTTGGATGGGTGAAATGATGGAAATAGTAGACATTTTGGTTATTACAAATTCTGGCATGTGGGAATCTAGTAATTGAGTTAGATGGCCTTATTTAACGGGATACATATCGCAAAAACAGTAGGAACATTATAAAATCAATATTACAATGGTAATAAGTTTAACTGTTATTATGGATTTCATAGGAGTTTATTTTGCAAGTTGGTTCACAATAAGATGTGCTTCTTTGTTGGTTCTTCATATAGCAGGTCCATACTAGTAATTATTTGCTAGAGATATGCAGTTATGGACCCATCCTAACTTGATGGATAGATTTTTGGCTTATTCCCTACATGCTATTCTAGTGATAGTTTAAGGGTCAAGACTCAGCGGTTAAAATATCAATTTATAATTTATTGTAATTAATTTGAATTGGCATTATATCAGAGATTATTTTTGGTGCAGTTACATTATACTAGAGACTGAGTTGATTAATAATTTCAGATGTCTATAATGATCTGTTACTGCAGTAAAGAAATTTCTTTTTCTTTTCAATTAGAAAGCTGAACCTGATATAACTGGTACAATAATTGATCCCAACCAAAACTACTACAAAGTCAGCATAAATTTTGGAAAACCTCTGTCAAAGCTGACAATGTTTTGACGTGATACCTGTCGTTTGATGCTTGATCCTAGAAACAAATAATGGAATAGTTAGTTAAATTCCAATTTGAGCTTCGAGCTACCGGTCTTAATTGGAAAACAGGTATTGTGTGAGTTTTTGTTTTAGGATTATGGATAGATCCTGGCACATTATTGGTGAAGCCTTTCACGGATATGTTAAGAGAATCTCTGGCAGCAAGAAAGCCATAAAGACTTGAAAGTTGGAACTCAACTATAATTTCCACTTAAATGTTTTATTTTTTTCTTGTTATAAGAAAAGTTACCTTCAAGTTGTACGTAAGAATTGCTTATTTGCTAAAAATAATAACGAAAAGGAAGATGTGAATGCTGTAACTATATCAATCACAAAACTCGCTTCTAACAAATTTTTACATTCTTTCTCCTCTATTCTTTTTCTTCTTGTTGGTGGTGCTATACAAACATGTTACCTCTGGAGCATGGTTTGCAGTTAAGAGTGTGATTGGTAATGAAAGAGAAATCTTGGTTGAAACATCTGATGAATTTCCATGCCCATGTAACAGGAATCATCTAGTAGAAACATTTGACACTCTAGTGGCTATCATATAATACTCTACGAGCCACTATACATGTCACAATTGCAGTTGGCACCAATCAATCAACTTGATGATTCTGAAATACTCTGTAACGAGGGGCGCCAGGATTTTGACCTCACTACAGCAGGTTTTGCTGAAGCCGCCCTTGGCCTGTGTCTCTCGGGTCTCGTTCCCTGGAATTCATTAGACTGTCTAGCATCAGTACTAATGAATTATGAGAATAAAAACTTCCAAGATTGAAGCTAAAAGTTGTGTGTGAAACTTGGTTTCTAAAAAAATCATGGCTGTCAAAGGGATTGGATTATATTTCATTTGGCTTTGATCACTCATTTTCTTAGTTTCAAAAGAAACACAACGGCTAGAGTTTCATCCTTTCATACAGACATAACATCAAGGGCAGGTTTTGTTAAGGATTGCATGACATACTGGTATAAATATATGTATATTTTGTTTAAACTGTATATATTATAGATATACAGTGGAGAGAAGTAGCATCTATAGACCATGTGCCATGTGACATGTCCCATGGTAGATAGATCAAAGTCTTCAGTGGATTCACTATTGGGGTGGACTTAAAAAATAACCTACTAGGATAGTATTCATGAAATAATAGTTAATTCAAAGGCAAAATTGGAAAAGGAGTGTTGACATGAGACATACCTGATGTGTAGACTCCCCTCCTGTGTGTGCCTCAGTGGTTGAACTCTCCTTCTCCGGTTGTACGGTATGTACCTTCTCGACTGTCTCAGCCTGTGGCTTCCTTGTCTTGGCATGCTTCTTTGCTTTCAAAACCTTCATAACCTCTGAAACCAGAAACAGAAGATGGTCTTAGAGTCACACAAAGCGATGAAACAACACAAACACGGACCCTTCCAGAACAGCAATTGACCCTTTAATACAAAAAATACAATTTATTGATTACAAAGATCTGATAGCTGCATACCTTGAGTAGTGATGAGCCTGTAAGCATGGCCAAGGTTGAGAGTCTCATTAGGCCGGAGGAGCTTAACGCGGGTGAAACGCACCGTTTTCTGGTCTTGATTCTGCTCCTGTGGTGGCACAGGCAATGGTATTATCAAAGACACATAGTGGCCTGGGTTGGTCCTCATAACCTCACTTGCAGTGACTGGCCAATACAACCTCTCTATCTTCCCACAAGGGTGTTGGATCACAAGCACTGCAGCATCCACAGCTTGGCAATTCCCCATCTCTGAGATTAGCTTGTGGGAAGAGAGATTGAAGAAGATGGTATAGATAAGGAAGAATGGATGGATGAATGAATGAATGAATGAAGAGAGGGAAGGAAGTGAAGTAAGCAAAGGTCTCTATCTATACAGCTCCTTCTAGCACCCCACAAATATAGTAAAAACAGGTTCTAAGACTCTTGGCTCTTTAACCAGCCTCTTCCCAACTAACATGTTATTATTATTATTGTTATTATGATAGGGTGGTCAATTTAAGCCAAAGATATTTGACCTTAAATTGCATGACAAAAATATTGTGAAGGTTTTCGTTAATAATTGCCAAGCTAGTAAGATAATGTTTGGACATAGTGGTTAATTATTTTAATATTGGGCAACCACTGATTGGCACCGGCACTGGCCCCTAGAAATGGTGCAAATGCCACGTGGAGAGATGAGAAGATGAAGAAAATTGGACGGATATGTCCGGCGATGTCGACGCGGTCAAGCATTAGATTTAAGGTAAGACAAATGCCTCTTACGTATTATTATTATCTATGCCTACTATTATATAACCAAAAAAAATGAGTAAATAGTAATAATTTTATTAATAAAGGACACTCAAAGCGTGCGTTTGAACAAGATTCTTTTAACTGGACGTTGGATAAAGGACACAGCACCATCTTATCCGGGTTACAGAAACTCGCATAACTAGTTTGTTTGGTTTCCTAGAAAATGTTGGAGAAAGAAGAGATGAAGGTAGAAACTTCTAGGAATTAACATGTTGGCAAATTTTCACTTGGTTAAACGCAACATGGCACCATTATATATATATATATATATATTCCTTGTGATAAAAGATAATAAATAATATTAAAAGGGTATTGTCACATTGAACACTTTTCTCGAATGCAATGTAAGTGTAGCTTCAAAGGGACCTATTTCGTGCCAAATAATTGATGTTGTTCGTTTGATGATTGTGTAAAACAAGTGTGTGCAAGTGCAACCATTGCAAGCGAGCTTTGCTTGGGTGCTTGATAGGCCCTTGCAGCTTTATCATTTTTGAGTGCTGTTGAAAGTGGTGGGGTTGGACCAAATCTTTGTAAACCATTTGTAATTTTTTAAAGTATTTTATGAATAAATAAATATTTTGATACGGCTGCAAGAGTCTTTAATCTTCAATGTGGAGGAAACTTTAATTCAGGATGTGATACATGGCTTGCGCAAACTATTTTATGAACAATAAATGATAGATTTGAGAATCCTCTTTGATTCATGGAGCAAATTTTGTGCGTATCTTGAGTACTTTGACAACAAGACACCACAGATGCTTTACAATCATAATTTCTCCCATGATCCTCGCTACTTGGCGATGAATATACATTGATTTTGAAACTAGTAGAATTCATATTTGCTTGTTACTGATTTAATATTTAAATACTTCCATGCTCTGTTACAACACATTAACCTTGCTTTGTCAAATTAAGCATGCAAGTAACTATGACCTATGGGACCACGCTTAAGAAGGGCCTCCATAGGTTGTCAGCTTCTATATATCACCTTTCATACATGGGGGAAAATGTTGACATAACATAATTAATTTGTATGTTTTGCTCAATAAATTGTCTATATCTTGGGATGAACAATGCCTTGTTAAGACAAGAGTGGTAATATTGGTGTAGATCCTTGACTCTTGTGAATCTGATATTGCTTAAACTATGATAGCCCCAAGGTTTGAAATTTTCTTCTTCTGATTCACATGTGTAAACATCTCTGCATAATGTCAGTCTATGTAAGCCATGTGAGGTGCTGGGTGATTTTGGCTCAAATATTAAATGAGGAAAGGACTGTTTCTTGTTCAAACATGACTCTTGTAGGGGACTACACTTTTGCTATTATATAGTAAGAGTCTTAGCCCTATGTGGCCACCAATATGGCCGCCATCAATTGTTATTTATTGGGGTCCGAAAGGTCTTAATATTCTAATGTTAGGACATGTTTTAAATATAGTAGTTGATGGAATACAGTCTCAATAATGGTTCATATTTGCAACTTGTGGAGGGTACCATATTCAGGTTTTGTATGGCTTGTACCGTGGCTTTTGAACATTCTCTCTTTTATTTAAAACTTCCTACCAAACATTGGACTCTGAAAGGCTCTTATTTGTGGGGACTATTCGTTCTTTAGTTGCTGTGAAGGACATAAGCCAAGAGTTGCTTTCTCCACATTCTTCCCCCCATGATAAAAACAAAACCAACCATCCAAAAAGTACTTACTAATTAATGAATATATTATCTACCAGAGCAATTCAGTGAATCTAAATATCTGAGACTCCCATGAAATTGGTGACTGAAGTTACTTGGGGGCAAAACCATATGCCACCATGTTGTTTTAGGGACAGTCGAGTACCCAACAATGTGCAGGGTTTTTACAGTGCTTTGTCTGATTCAAGTTCAGTATATTCTCTTAAAGAAAATCTGCATGTGTCATTGCATAAGCTTTGAGGACTTATTATAAAGGTTGTGAAATGAAATCTGACATATATTATATCAGTTTGCTGTCTCCAAATCATGTTTGGCTTTCCTTTTTCCTCTCTAAGTTTTCGATAGATTCCAAAAAATCAAGGTTCAAGATACTGTCCTCTGTGCAAGGTTTCCTAAACATTGTTCACATTAGTCTCACCATATCCGTTTCACATATTTCATCTACTAACTTTTTTTTATATTCACATAATAAAAGTGCATGTGGTAGGCTATTAGTATTTTTCCTTCACCAACAAAATATATATATATATATATATATATATATCAAAAGGGTACGTATACGTGAGACTCAATTGTCCTTAAACCAAATAGTGCACTATTGCTTATCCATGATATTTTATCATGTATGTTAATATAAAACGTGACAATTTTATGGTTCAAGAGAGAGAAACAAGCATTAAATATCTGTTTGGTGGATTTTTTTGGAAGGTAAAGAGGTTGTGATCTAATAATTTTGTAAGTTTTATATAATTTATAATTTATTATTTTGATTTTTAAATTTAATAATTATTTAATATATTTATTTATATATTTATAATTTTTATTTTATTTTTATATAATGTATATTTACAATTTTATCCCTTTAAACTTAAATATTATTTAATATAGTATTTATATATTTATAATTTTATTTTTTTACCCTTTTATCTTCTTTCACTTTTTATATTTATTTATTATTTATTAATAATATATTATTTATTCTAAAATTAACATTGTTCCTCGTAAAAAATCCTTAGTGAAAGACTTGAACAAGAGAATGGGTTTTAACGCCAATTGATAGATTTATGTTTCAAAGGGGACTAGTAAAAAATTTAAAATATGGCAAACTTATCTTAGAATATGAACTTCTTTTGGATTCAAGCATGATTTTCTTTAGTTTGAAAAAAGTGGAGCTAGTACTGAATGATTCATTATCGTAAAGGGGTCAAACCTTAGGTTATCAGCTCGAGAAAAAAAAAATTAAAACGAGCCTTGTAATCATGAATAGGTTCTTTGAAGTTATCAACACTCCCACATCGTGGTCTTGTAGAAAGAAGGGGAAGGTATTGGAGGGCCATGTCCCTTTTGCAATAGCATTTGAATTACTTCTTCCATCGTGAATTGTCCAAGAAGTACGTAATAATCATGCTTAATGTTTAACCATTGAAAGGCACCAATAGCTAAAAATCAAATTCCTCACTTTTAATTTTGAATGAGATTTTCACCTGGAATTCAGCACCTAAGGTGCTTGATGCAAATTCCCATTGTTAAATTCTAATGTCAAATTCACACCCAATTTGCACCAATCATCTGTACTCCTTCAATCTCTACTATTACAAATGAAGAGGATAGAGAAGAGAAAGAGAGTAGATGGGGCAGTTGAGTTTTGCATGCACTTGCATCTGGATACACCTTTTAGAGGTCATGCATAGGTCAAAAACTGCTACCTAAAAACCTATGACTACACTTATCTGAATTAAATTGTCAAGTTTTGTCATGCAAATCTTAACATTTAACACCATTTTAATATCCTTGTTTTTTACTATTCAATCAATTCTTTTAGAAGGGTTTATGATATATAAACTTTTATATTATTATATAAATTTCTAATGATAGAGAATTAAATTCATAGAACACCTAAGGAATATTGGAGCGACAACACTTATATTAGTTTACTCTTTTTTTCTTAAATTTTTTATCACAATATTACACAATTTTGTTGATGAATAATAAATGCTAAAAATTTAAGAGCATATTAACTAGTGATAATATATCACCATTTAATATGAAGTGATTTGAATAGAGAAAAGGAATAGCTAACCAGAAAAGCATATTCTTATTGTGGGACTACTCAAATGAAAATAAACTAATGTTTTTATAAGTTAAAATTAATTTATAAAATAAACTTTCGTAATTTCTCTACATTTTTTTTTCTTAACAAAACATTTCTTTTCACTCTGTTTATTATCTATTATTTCCTTCTTCTTTTTTATCATTTATCTATTTTTGCCATATATTTCTTTTCTTTCTATTAAATGTTTTTAGTTATTTCATAATAGTGTATTTAAATAGTTTAGAAAAAATGAACATTTTAGTCTATCATTTTAATATCTTAGTTCTAACTTAGATTTCAGTTTTTTTTTTAAATTGTCAATAATTGGTAATAATAACGTTGTATTATAATATAAATTATTAATCATAAATCTTAAATATAATGTATATGTTCAAAAATATTGTATTTATTATAAATTCTAATTATAACATATTTACAAATTTATTTATTATATATTATATATTTTAGTTGTATGAAATAATATTTATTGTGTAATGAAAGACTAAAATAATATATATATATATATATATATATATATATATATATATATATATATAAAAAAAATGTGTATACTATAGAACTGGTTAGGGGAAAAAATTGTCACTAAACTTTTCATTACTTCTTCTTAACCTAAACTTCAAATATTAGCCAAGCAATCTACATACATATACATATACATATATATATATATATATATATATATATATATATATATATATATATATATATATATATATGTCAGGTTTTGAAACCATAAGCTATTTAATTCGATATAAGAAATGTTAACATTACACTTTTGGTTCAAAATTTTATAAAGATGGTAAAAGTTTTGTGGACTTTCCATGTTATTTTTTTATATGTTTTTCACTAGTTTAATTTATAATGTTTAACAAAATTTTATACACATTAATAACTGTGTGTAATAATGAAAGAATCACATTTCAAATTTCCAACAGCAGAATATAAGAGAGAAACTTCACTTTTTTTCTTCTTTTTTTTTTACATTAATAGAGGTTAACATTCAGCAGCAGGCATGTGTAAATCTTCCTGACTTACCATACCATCTATCTATGTTATGGCATTGAATAATTATTCACAAAAAGATGAAAATATGCAAATCCTAATCTGGGTCAATCGTTTTTGAAAAACAGATTGTTGTTGGGTTGCTTGATATTTCGAATCTGCACAGTTCTATGACCATGTGCAAAGAACCATTGTTTGGTGTCACGAACAAACATCAAAGATTCCATCAACCCACCACACAATTGATGTGATGCACTTGGCTGGTGCATGGTCTCACGTTTTTCTTTTTCTTTTTTTCTTTGTAACAAGAATTCGACTTACAATAATAATCATAATAATATATAATATACAACACAAATGGCAGTACTGTTCCAACAATTAATGGATGAGAAGAACCAACGTTTAACAAGACAAAAATTGATGCACTTTAGCATAAAGCTGTGTTTCCCCTTTGACGTTTTATTCGACAAATTCATGCACGAATGGCAAAGATTCATCACTTTTCTTTTCCTTCACTTTTCCCAGTGATGATGATGATGATTTTAACTGTCTGTTTGGTTCCTCACTCGGAAAGAGATAGGCACGAGGGAGTAAAACCATATTAGAATTATTGGTGTGGCAGGAATATATAAAGTGATGCTAGAAAACAGTTTCAAGGGGTGAGAAATGGACACCACGGTTCTTGTGGTGGTCACCTTGTCACCCACATCATTTCCTTAAATCAAATCCAAAATGGGTTTGTCACAGTTTGTGGGAACAATTTTAGGCTCACAATGGGATAATTATATGCATTAACACAAACATTTCTTGTTCGATGGTCAATTTCTACGACAAATTGGGTGACAAACTTTTGTCTGTTTCTTACCCTCCTTTTTCCCTTGAAATCGATTTGAGGAATCATATTACCAATGATCCACTCGCCAATTTATGCTTTTTTTGATAAGCCACCACCACCTTGCCATTTCAACCATATAAACCTTCATGCATTAAGAAAGGAATCATAAAGAAGTTCTAATTCTACCATGTTAAATCTTTTCATTTTATTTGAGGGGAATGAAAATTTATTGAATTTTTTTTTAACAACAGAAAGAAAATGGTTTCCCTTCCTTTCAACCCAAATGCACCTTTGTTCGAAGTTGTAGATTTTTACTCCTACATGATCTTAGAATTGGTCTCTTTTAAGAAAATTAAATATGGGAGCTACTCCTCAAAAAGGTTTTGAGCTAATACTCATGGAGATAGATCTCCCTGTTTCCATAGATGGGATCTTTGCAGGCATAAATGTATGCTTTCTGTATTCCATAGATGTTTCCGAACAACAACATGTTGCACATAAAAAACATAGGTGATAGGATATTCCATACAAACAGATACAGACATATCAAATACTGACATACAGATGAAACACCCCACATTGATGAATCTACATATCCATCTTCACCATGGATATACTGAATATCCATCAGTTATATTTATTTATTTATTATTTTGAAATACAAAATAAAAACATGTGACCTTTTATCCAAAAAATCACTTTAACAAAATTATTATTTTTCATAAATAAATTTTGACTGAAGACCTTAAAAAAATAAAGTTTGCTAAATTATTTCTAATTGATATGCTCTTACATAAGGAATTATTACATTTTTTTTAAATAGGTCCTTGTATTGATTTAAGTACTTGGAAAAGTTAATGAAATCAAATATTAATTGAAAATCACGAGATCAATCTCACCAAAAACCATCCCAGAGATGAAATGGATTCAATTGTTAAAAACCCAAAATTAACTACATGAAAGAGTTATCTGCACTACCAATAGATGCAGACTTGATTAAATATCTTGGTAAAAAGCTTAATCTTAGATTTTTTTAGAGATTAGGTAAAACGCTTTCATCATAACCACTTCTCAGAGATAAAAACCCAAAAAACCTATCAAACCTCAAAATAGAACCCTAGAAATGACGCTACAAGGACAGCAAAACAGTTCCTAGCTCAATGGAGAAGAAGTAACCTGTCACTAGCACGAAGAAGAAACTCGAGGAAAGAAGAAGTAACTCGACCAAGATGGTGCAAGAAATGCACCAACAACGAGTGGAGACCCTAAAAAAAAGCAGAAGAAGCTCGCCTCATTACAACTGGAGAATGGGAAATCCCAGTGTCTCATGAAAAGTTACCTACATGTCAACATGTCATGGGAGCAAATGGGCTATTAACTGAATTTAGTAAAATAGGCCTGCCAATTGAATTAAAAGGGTCTAGCCGCAAATTTATCTTTACATTATACCCATTTAATTGGGCTTTGCTATTCCCACCCGTTATCCTACATCCCCAAGTGTTCCAAATTTTTTATAAATCCTTGACAGCATTTATTGTAGGGAGTGCAACCATACCATACAAATATTTGGTTATACTAAGTTATTCATAAAGAAATGTTCATGAAGATCTATTTTGCTATAAATTTATTAATAAAAGTAATTATAACACGCACGTATACACACTACACGATATATATATATATATATATATATATATATATATATATATATATATATATATATATATATATTAATAATAAAATTAATATATAATTTATATGATGAATAGTTTTTGTATATGAATTATATAAAAAGTAAGTATATTTTTAAAACATTTATTGTTAAATATTAATAGTTTCTTAAGTTGGCGTTGTATTACATTTAACTTAAGTTTATTATTATATTATAAAATAAATAGGAATATATGTTTAATACCCTCTTAAATTGATTTTGTAATATATTAATGTTTTACTTAGTCAACCAAATTCAGACATTAGTTATTAATAAAATTTACAGACACTTATTAATGTTTAACTCAAAAATATATTTTATTTATGGCATGAGAAAAATTTATAAGAAGTAAATAGTAAAAAAAATAAGTGACATAAATTGATAAAGGCAAAATAACGTGTGTCGTTACTAGATAATTTTATAGTATATTTTCTCTTATTTTCTATGTAACATGTACATCGATATTAATTATATAAAAAAAATATCAAAGATAAAATTAAAAAAAGAAACACATGGACTAGATTCTACTTAAGTAATCTTTTTAAAATAAATTTTGAATATTCTAATTTTATCCCAGAAATCTGACTTTTAGGTTTTTAACCCACTAATTAAATCATTCCAATATGAAAATCAAAATCTTCTTTCTTTTTTATCAAAAAAAAAATAGATAAAAAATTACATTATTTATCTATATATCTATATAAAGATAGAGACATAGACAATTGCATATACTTTAAAAAATTTATCTATACCTACTAATTACATGCAATAAATATTTATTTATATCAATCAAAATAAAGTATTTAATGAAATATTAATTATATTTTATTTACATTAAACATAATAATTTTATTTTATTTTATGATAATTTTTAATTGAATAGTTAGTTTTCTATCTATAAAAAAATACATTTAAAGCATTTTCAATGTCTGATTTTCTACCTTAAATTTGTGTACAGTGTTTAGCTTAATTTTTTCACATTAAAAAAAAAAATTTTCCCCTTATTTTTTCTAATTCAAAATAAAAATCAATTCAGCAAGTTTATAAATTTTTTTTAATTTCTTTTTTAATGTTGGTTGAGTTCAATAAGTAATTTAATGAATAAGTTTCATATGTTTAATAAACTAGTAAGTGTTCAAAATCAATATATTCAATGTTATTTTATTGTTTTTTAAAAAGAAAATTCAGTTTTATTACTTTCTAAAAATTAAAAAAATTGTTTGGCAATTACTTTTTAATTTTATTATTACTTTTTAAATTTATTTTTAAGTTTTATTTTTTTTAAATAAAAAAAATATCCTCAATAGAAGTTTTTTTTTTAATTTTGTATTTATTCATAACATTCACGTCTTTGTTATAAAATATATTTTTTAATTTCTTTTATATATATTAATATCTTTTTAATTATATATATATATATATATATATATATATATATATATATTAATGTTATTCACGACTTTACTTATGATTAGACTCTCAAAATTATTTTTCAATTTTCACCCCAATCTTTCAACCCATTCAATGTCAGACTCATTCACATAAAAGTAATTTTCGAACTAATATTACCGAACAATATTTTTCTTTTTCTTCTAAAATTAATCACTAAAACTCTTTATATAAACTAAAAAATAAAGCTAAACTCTTATTATTTAATAAAACGTTAAATATTAAAAAAAACATATATTAAAATATTTAAATAAAAATCATATATTGAAAAAATTAAATATTCTCCATATAAATATTTTAAAAATCATAATAAATCTTTTAAAATGAATAACCAAATCAAATTTTAGTAAAATAAAGATATATTTCAAACTTGATATTAAAATGAAGTAATTTAAATTTTTTTATTTTACTTTAAAAACAAATTAATAGTAAAACACTCATAAAAATTCTATCCAACATACAAAGATACTTGAAATGTTTTACCTTGAAATCAATTTCTCCATATACAATTTAAAATCACATGCTATTACAACATTTAAGATCATCCAATGTTTATTTAAACTCGGAGTGTAATGTAACGAGGACTTTGTCTTGTACACTACTCATCACACTCGTTCAAGATGTTTCCTTACCGACAAGTATTTCAGCATCTACATGCTGAGTGTCTCAGTGCTCGAGTTCAATCCATTATGTGCTGCTAACAAATGGACAAAACTCAACAGTAATTTGTCAATGTCATGACAAATACTTGTTTTGAACATTGGGATTGGCTACCCAACAGCATGGTGTTTGCTTTGAACATTGATGCATAGCCACAAAATACCAAATTGGAGATTAATTGAAAACTTAAGTCTTACACATAATGAAACATTGAAGACAACAACATCATTCTTGTCTGAAAAACAAAGCATAAATGTCTTAAAAGAAACATTCGAACTCTGCATAGCAGAACAGCTTAAAGAAAACAAGTGCAGTATGACAATGATGGGCACTACATGCCCTTGAATTTGATATCAACACAGCAGCTTTCAGCTTCGGCTTTCTTGGATGCCTTCAAGTTTCTGTATCCTGTATCAGTTCCAAAAATCCTATATACACAAACAACAGCAACAATACACAAAGCACTGTCAGCATAACCAATGAAACATCTAAAAAGAAAAACTTGTTCAAGTGAATCCATGTAATGTCAGTTAGGCCATCTCAGATCTTAACCAAATGTTAAAAACAATAACTAGAAAAGAAAATGTATTGAGTAATTAAACATTAGGGAAAACTATTTTTTTATGGGTATGATTCACCTCTAAGCATTGGAAGGGTTTTCCACATTATGTCCATTTAGTGTTGTAATTTAGTTATGGATTACTCTTCTGTAAATAAAGTACAACTCATGCGGGGTGTGTGGCTAAGTAATTAAATATCCTCTATTTTATATAGTTTTATCTCTATTTTTATAACACCAAAAAGACTAATGCTTTTATAGCAAAATTGTTGAATGCATACCAATCCATGTAAGTAAAGGTTGAGGAATAGTTTCCAGACTTGGTGTACAGCAACCGGTGATGATAGTCATGGAAATCAGCTCTGAAAATGAGGATGCAAAGCTTAACAATAAGAACTGTAGTAGAATAGAGCAAGTGGATGGTGTCAAGGGAAGGGGAAGGAACATCACACTCACCCCCCATACAATGGAATGAAGTTTGAAACACTCCATGGAAAATGGTGACCACTATGCACCTCAACTGTCTCCAAGACTCTTAGAATCATCCATATCCACAGAGTCATCAAGTGGGGACCCGTGAGAACAGGACCAATAATGGTAGCAAATCCAAGGAAAAGTATCTCAGCAGGATGAGCATATTCAGAAGTAAGTCCAAATGGAGTAGCATACCTTCACAGCATAAAAAAAACATCTTGAAGCGTGAGCAAAACCTTCAAATGCATTAATGAAAATTAATCCCAGAATAAACATAATTCTTACTCATGATGAACACTATGCACATGTGTGTACAGCCATTTTGTGTGCAATATCCTGTGTCCCCAGTAGAATATAAAATCCTCCAGTATGAAGTAAAAGATTATTTGGGTTAAAATGACTTTCCTGCAAAAAAATAAAAAAAAATTTATTCATGTTTACTTAATGGAAATAAATATTAGAAATGTTCATCAAAATTGATGCTATAGCTAAAAAATGTCTACATACAATCATAACCACTATAATAATTCTTCAAGTACCAGGATGGCAATGGAAGACTGATCTGCATGCCCATGCGCTTGAACAAAGGATAGGAAATTATCATAACAGGTAGATTGACCCCGAAATGATACAGTATCAACCGACTGATGCATTTCTCTTGAGCTGCAAGACTATTATTTTTTCCCTGCAAGAAACCGTGCATTAGTCATATATATGAGAAGGATAGCAGGTGTGGAAATAGATCAGGGACACATATTCTTACATCAAAATGAACACTACTAGTTCTAACATTTACATTTTTAACATCAATATGATCACAACTAGTTCTCTGAGAAGGATAGGCCTCACATGGTAGAAATGAACAGAAAAAAAAAAATACTAGTAAAAGAAGCATATTAGTTGTCATACTAGTTGTCGCACATTTGAATTAAAACAGGCCAACACAAAGGGATCATTTATTTTGTGAATTTTTTATTTTTTTTTCCTTCTCTGTTTTCATCAGTAATTATAAAACTATTATTTTACCTTCAATTTGTTTTCAGTATAAATTTTCTTACATAAAACAGCAAACAACTCTATTTTTGTTGTCTGTTTCTGTACAATTATTTGAATTATGTGTTTTCAGTACAAAATTTTAAAACAAAATGCAAGTCTTGTAATCAAGAGTGAAAACAAAAATGAAAAGGGAAGTGAAAAAATCATAACTTTCTCCAAAGTAGATAATGAGATATACACAAAAGTGAAAATTGAGCAATTTGCTGTAGTCCTGGCATTGGGAAAATTTTAGTCCATGCAATAATTCATCCATATCATAAATCAGACATGCATGTACAACAAGAGATTCTTTGAATCCTTTCCATTCAGGACACGAAGACAAAGAAGAAAAGACACAAAATAGGATGGTCAGCCAAAGGGCATTTGGATTCTTTCTTGTTCTTGAATAATACATTGTCCTGGTGAAGAGATAAATCACAATTTTATCAAATAAGACCCCACCATGGTAGAATTCACAGCTTAAATTCTATTTTTCTCTCAAACAAAGTCACATCATGTCTAGGATCCAAAACCTTCTAAATCCTCAACATGCAAAACAAAAAAGACAAGACATAGAAAATTGTGTTGCAACTATCAAACAAAACCACATAAAGTGAACATAAAAATGATTTTCCGATCAAGAAAAACAGCAAAGAAGGACAAATCTCATCTGCAAAACATGCCCTCAATGTCCATTGTCAAAGCAGACTATGTTGTAAAAAAACAAAGCAGAAAATTTCAAAGACAGACAAATAATGCAAAACCTGAATCTTATACTTGCTGAGCCACCTTGTCCTTTCAAGCATCATAAAAGGAAGTCCGGACAGGAAAAAAACACCTTCATGCAGAAAGAAAGTTCCGAGACAGGCCAGTTGAAATTCACTGAAATGTGTGATCAAAAACTACAATCACAAGAACATGCAAAAGGTCTAAATGTCAAACACAAACTCAAAATTTTGTTGTGAAACATGATTGACAGGCGACCAACTTTTGAATATAAGGACACATTGTAGAAGCAATTAAAGATGAAGTTATGAATGAAAAGATGAGATAGAACCTGCCAAGAAGATTGAACAAAGGAATCCATGAGTGACAGACTGTGGAAGAGAAATTGAGAAAGGTGAGAGTGTTTAGTGTGATAGAGTTATGAACATAGTAATGATATTAATATACGCCTCAAATATGACCAACCGAAGCGTGTAAGAAGGGCCCTCCCCTAGAAGGGTACACACTTTGCCGAAAGCAATTGACCAAAAGTAACGAGTTACGAGCGCGAATGCCACGTCATATGTTTGAGATTGAGATAAAGGATACTCGGTCCATTACAGTATGGATTTTTCTTCTTTCAAATCCACCCTTTATCCTAACTGTTCTGAAGAGATCAGAAACTTTGTCGCACTTTTGGATTTTTTTGTAGTTCAATTATTTATGCAAATATTCCTTTTTTTTTATCAAAATTGTTATATGGTAATTTTATAAAGTTAAAAAAATTATATATATATATATATATATATATATCAAAACTTATTTATTATATTTCTTAATAGATTAATTAATGTAAAATATAAAAAAATATGTAACCTATTTATATAATTATAATAATACTGAAAAATATAATGTGATTTATCAAGTTTAAAATAAATTAAAATATTATTTAAATTTAAAACAATAGGACACTTGTACTAATTAATATAAATATTTAATCTAATTTAAACGTTAGTTTTATATTTTAAATAGACGTGGTTTATTTTTAGTTTTGATTTTAAAATATAATACATGGAGACTTTTGTAAATTATAATTAAAAAAATCTTATATTTTGAAATATAAAAAATATAATTAATGTAACAGTAGTATATAAAAAATCTTATATACTACTGTTACAATATTAATGTGTAATTTTTTCTAAATAATATATATATATATATTCCATCATCAATTAAAATCTTTAACTCTCTTAATGATATTCCTAGGTACAATTATCAATTATTTATAATAAAATATAAATAAACATTATTAATAGTTTTGTGACATGTGGTTTGAGAATATATTTAATTAATTTTGTGATTAATTTCAGTAATAATGTCATTAATTGGGGAGTGATTATCGATGTATCTTGTTTTTTCTTTATTTTTTTTAATCAAACATTATAGTTAACTTTAAGAAATAAGATCAGTAAAGTTTACCTAAAAATTAAGATAAAAAGAAGAAAATAAAATTATAAATAATATAAAATTAAGTTAGAATCCATAAATACATAAATTAACATAATCTAAAATATAAGATATTATGTCTATTTTAAAAAAAATATTGATATAGGAATGCAAGCTATTAAACTATGTAAAAATAATTATTTTATGTAATTTAGAATTCTGATGGTTTATAAAATATAAAAATGTGCTAAATTGTGCACCACTGAGTTTAAAGATTAAATTATCTACTACCACCCATTTGAATTATGTAATTAAAATGATTTTTATGGAAAATTTAATGTGCTACATTATGATTCTGCATTTAATATCTTTTCCTATTCCCAATGCATGGCATCTGGTGTACAACTTATTTGTAATTTATTTTCATTATAATATAATTTATATTTGAATACCTACCTCACTCAATAAATAATAAAATTGAGTAATTTTTACTTTTCTTAATTATATATCAAAATATATTCAGTTCTTTTAAAAAAATTTACATAGAACATTTCAATTCAATATTTCTTTCATTAATAGTTTGTTTATAGACTTAAATTTTAAATTATATATATATATATATATATATATATATTATGATATTTTTACTTAATTTTTTTTATTCATCATTCCTTACTTGTAAAAACTAATGTTTAAATTTTTTTATAAATAATTAATTTAACGAGATAATATCATCATGATATTTTGATTATTACATGTGTCATTATTTTTATTTATAATTAAATTATTATTTGAATAGTTGATAAAAATATTAATATTAATTTTTTTATTAATAAATTTGTCCAATATTTATTTTAAGATTTAATTATATTTTTAATTTTTTGAATTCAAAATAACTGTGGTTTCTAAATTAAAAGAAGTTGTTTTCGATTTTTAAAATTGAAAAAAAATTATTATTTTTAATTTTGAATACTAAATTTAAATGAGACAAAGAATTCTTAATTCTAACAATTTATAAGAGTAATTTCATTTCTTATAAAATTTTAAATTTTACTTAAAAAAATAAAAGTTTAAAATATGTATACTTATTTAGTCTAATATATATATATATATATATATATATATATATATATATATATATAAAATTGTTGATTTGAAGTCAATTGAAAACATTATTAATTATTCTCCCTTTGATGAGATGGCATAATCATTATTACACTATTATCAAGCCACTTAAAATAAATCTATTATTCATTTCAGATAACATTATTTTTAACCACCTCAAAACTATAAATATCGTATACATATAAAATTAGGAGGCACAATAAATCAAAATATCAATTACATTATTAATTGTCTTTATTAGAAATCCAAGTGTGATTTTAAGTTTTATATTGTATAAAAATGAGAAAGTTAAGTAACATATAAGGAAGTATGACTCATAATCTAATCCCTTTTTGGTTAAGAGTGGCGTCAACCCCTTATATGGGTTGGATTTATATCTCATTGGTATGTTTCTCCCATGTGAATCCCCTTGGACGACCCAACAAGTGGTACCAGAGCTGAAGGTTGATCGGCTCAGAATGGTCTTTGGGTCAAGTAAGCGTCTCCCGTTAGAGTGAACGGCGGTACATGAAAGGACCACAATCACATTGAGTAAGAATGAGAAGGTTGAATAACATATAAGGAGAAAATACTCATAACTTAATATCTTCCTAACAGAGTGGGTCAGGTAAATATGTCTCATTATGATGAACGGCGATACATGAAAGGGTAATTAGTAAGCTCGAGGGGATGTACTAATGTGAAAGAATTCACACTTGGATTCTTAATAAATTAATATTTATACATACAACAGTACACACATGAGAATATCATTGTTAATTCTTATGTCACAACACTACATTTCAAGACATGTAATAACATTTAACACACCTCATTTTAGGTTCATAATAACATATCACAACATAACATGGAAGGGTCACTAGTGAGCTCGAGAGGATGTCCTAATGTGGAGAAATTCACACTTGGATTCCTAATAAATCAATATTTATACATACAACAATATACACATGAGAATACAACTTGGTAATTCTTATATCACAGACATGTCAAGACATATAATAACATTCAACACATCTCATTTCAAGTTCATAATATGTATTTTAATAGCTTAAGATACATACAAATCATTTCTTACATTATAACAAAACATATTTTTTCTCTAATTTGACTTTTATCTATTTTTTTTATCATACATTTTTCTATAGACATCATTTTTAACTAATTTTTATTTTATTGGATTTCTTATTTTCGGAGCTTCGATTTTCATATATAGAACATTAAATTTGGACTTCAAAACTCTTTTTTATGATTTCTCAAAAAAATGTTAAGCAATTCTGAAAATGTTGAGCGAATTTTAATGCGCTGAACGGATTTGAAATTGCTGAGTGAAATTTTGGTAGAATGGAACCTCTAACATTGTCCAAAATTCGATGGGCGAATTTGAAAGTGCTGAGCAAATTGCAAATATTTTTAATACTGTCTTAAATTTGCTAAACGAATTTAAATCCACCGAGCATATTTGTGATAGTAATAGACTGCATAATCTTCCCAATACCTTGTTTCTAATGTTCCAAAACAAATTAATTATAAATATTATCCCCCTTATTGTAAATTAGTTCACTAAATTCAATCCAAGAACAATACATTCTTACAAAAACTATAACAAATTGAAATTCGTTGGACGAATTTTTTACAGTAGCAGACTGCATTCAAAATCAACACATATCAGTCTCATATCAATCAATTATATATTCACATTTAATATCATCATCACAAATCAACACATACATAATCATACAATTCAAAATTCCTAAAACACAAACAATGTAACCAAATCACCTTCACAATCAAGATCTTCTAGCCTAAAGTACTATAAAAATTGAAGGATAACTAATTCCTTTACCTCAAACAGTGTTTTCAAGTTAAAGAACTGTTAAGTGGTAAAAAGTCGATATAATTATGCCTTAAATTGTTATGAAACCATTTAACTTATGTTAATTTTAATCTATTTTTCTCCCAATATAGGATGAATTCGAGAATACCTTGATACAAGAGTAAGAAACATAATTGTCAACATAATTAAAGAAAAATTGAAAGAAAGAAGAACGCTTAAGCGAATGGATGATGCGAGGCCCGACCCAAATTCTCTTATAAAAAGATAAGATGTGTTTTGAGAAAGAAAAACAGTCTTGGAGAAGAGAAGACACGACTATTGTTAGGGTTTCGTCTAATCTTCATCAATTCTTCACTTATTCATCAATTAGAGCATTGTAATGGCCAACATGAGTGGCTAACTTCATTCTCTTAGGATTCAGTGCACTTCTTTTGAACTCTTTTGTATCATGATGATATTTTGAGATATTAATCTATGCTTTGATGTTGTTATTCTTATTATTTATGCTTTGGAATGATTTATTCTTGATGTTTGGGGTATGATTGGAAAATATATCTTGAACCCTAGATCACGGTACGTTAATTGCCAGGAATGGAATGAATGTATTAATTGCTTAACACCCTAAACCTAATGCTGGAAAATCTGTTAATTGTGTGAGGAATCAACATTTATTAGGTTTTCTTATGAATTTCATATGTGAGGAATTAACATGGATGAATTGAGCAGGTGGCATCAACATTGTTAGGTTAATTGACGTTCTTAATTGATTTAACCATTACAAAAGAGGGATAAGGAAGGAAGTCAATCCTAAGTACCTTTAATTGATATTTTCTCAACAATTTACAGTTCTTTGTCATTTAATTTCAATTCAACTCTTATTTGCAAAACTCAATCTGTTTAATATACTTAGTAAGCATAATTGGGAATTTTCATTGAAATTGTTCCTCGTGAGATCGACTTTTATTTAATTGAAATAC